CCCAATTATATATCGCAATCAAACCCCACATATCCACCATTATTGACAGGGCGGTGATGTGTGCCATGCTGGGGCCCACCCTGCCTGGGATTGTAGTCCCATGGGTCCAAACACCTTGGAACACCAGGTGGCATGGGCAAGGCGTCAGGCTGCCACTCCAAAAATGGAACTGGAACCCTATGAAACAAAGAACGGCTGATCTTAGATATCCAAGTAACACCTAGTAATACCTAGTAAGGTTAAATGTAATTACTTTTTCGAGTTGTTGAGCATCTATTGAATCTATGCGATATATCCCTACGGCAGCTCTATGAAGACCCTATGGCAGAAAATTAAAGGATTGAACTGTCCATCCGGGGTCGGCATAGAAATGGATTTGGAAGATAGTTTCCTGCAGAGTACCTGTTGGATTCCTCTCCATGCTGATTGTTCAGATTTCTCAGGGCGCATTTGCACTTTACACATGTCTATCATTTTTTTTTGAACGTACCACTGTTTTCCAGAACATCTCAACAAATGGCGGGTTCAAACCACCGTTTTGTGCGGCTAATTGTGGCCTAAGATAAAACACACACATATATATATATACATATATATATAATGAAATATATATGTATATGTATATACATATGCATATATATATACATATGTATATGTAAATAGATATATATATATATACATATATGTATGTATAAATAATTTATATATATATACACATATATGTATGTATAAATGTATATGTATATATATATATATGTATGTCTGTATGTATATATATATATGTATATATATATATATGTGTGTATTTATATGTATATATATGTGTGTATATATGTGTATATGTAAATATGTATATATATATATATTGCATATATGTATATATTATATGTGTATATATATATATATATATATATTATGTATATATATATATATATTATGTTTATATTTTTATTTACATATATATATATATATATATTGTATACAATCCCAACTGGACAATCATTCCAGTCAGTGAGTCTAGTTACTAGTTCATAACCTTGGTTAGGCTGGGCTTCAACCCCACTTGCCAACCACAGATTTTAATGTTGTATAATGTTGTAGATTGTAGGTGATTTACCCATCAAAATAAAAAGTCAAATCTACTAAAATGTTGTGATTTGGGTGTAACGACAATGCGGCCGCGGGAACTGTTGTGTTTTGTGAACACTGCTTCCCCCCAAACAAAATAGGGATACCCGGATACCACCACAATATCACCAGTTTCTTGTTCTTTCTTTGGTGCCTTTCCAATGTTTTTCGACATCTTTTCCCTCAAACAGGCCCCGCAGTTCTCGCACAGAGGATGCCCAGTGGCTCTTCCACCTCCTGCCGGGAGGGCCTAAGTGGGAACGATTTGATGAATGGCGTGTGACCATTATGCACAGTACATAATATATATATATATATATCTATCTATCTATCTCTCTCTCTCTCTCTCTCGCTCACTTTATATGTAATATTATATATAAAAACATATAAATGTAATTAATTGTGTATATATAATTTTAAATATATATATATATATATATTAGCAAAAATTAATTAATAGATACTAATAGAGTTTAATAGAAAGGTTCTTGGAGGGTGATGCCAATCAAACGGATTTAAGTGTCGCTACAATCTACCTGAAATCTACCTGGAATCTACCCTGCGTGTGAGTATCGCAACATATCGCAACAGTCCATCTGCATGGGCATACACCATCATTGTCACTGTATAGGTGCTCTTGACACTGGATGACACCGGCTACCCTGACAATCTACCAAAAAAGCTAGAACTAGCAGGGAGGCTCCAGACCTCAGCAATGGCCAATCTCTGGTCACGGTGCCAAGTCACATTTCAAGCCTCATCCCTGGCCCCGCATACGTCGCGTCGCGGCGTGCGGTTTCCGCTGAGCCAAAAAATGCAGCACTTGGAGGCTCGTCCCACTTAGTAAGTAGTTCTTTTTGTGCCCCCAAAGGTTTCATGTAATTCCACTCAGAGGGCTTGAACACTAGGACGTTATGCGATTTCAAGATGATTGGACATATGTTGGAATATTCTAGAGGGGTATGTTGCATTTGGCGATATGAGTAATATGTTAGTTATAAGACGTTCAGCTAGTAACTTCACCTGGCTGGAATCTTTGAGCGTGGACAGGTGAAACATACAATCTAAGGATTCTAAGGTCAGACTTTCAATGCAAAACTCAGGCTGCATAAAACAACGATGCAGCCTGCAACTGTCCCTGTTGGTTTATCCCAGGGATCCCAAAGACGAACCCAGGGATACCAAGCGATTTTGCAGCTTTTTTTTTGTCTCATTTCTGGCTTTCTTTTTGAGTGGGACGTTGGCATGTCAGGGTGCTGCTGACAATCGGAACTGCTCCCACTTGCCCTCTGGGAATCCAACAGAGCTCTCTCGCCATCGCCCTCTCCGATGGAGCTACGTTAGATGATTTACTTATTTACTGTACTTGAGGTTAAAAAAACATGTTTATTCAAACTGCATTGTTGTGCCTTCCAAGTAGTCTTTCAATTCGCCCATGAATCCAACGAGTAGCCATGTGGCTAGAAGTCGGAACTGTTTTTGTCAAGCGGCTTAGCCCAAATACACCTAATGGCCATCACACAAAAATTACTTTACTTCGTGTGATCCCCACCATGACATTTATACATTTTGTTACTGGCAAATCTTCTGGCATTCTATCTGACATATTTTCTGGCATTCGATCTGGCATTCTATCTGGCATATCTTCTGGCATTCTACCTGGCATATCTTCTGGCAGATGTTCTGGCATATCTTCTGGCAGATGTTCTGGCATATCTTCGGCATATCTTCTGGCATATGTTCTGGCATATCTTCTGGCATTCCATCTGGCATTCTATCTGGCATATCTTCTGGCATATTATCTGGCAAATCTTCTGGCATTCCATCTGGCATTCTATCTAGCATATCTTCTGGCATATTATCTGGCAAATCTGCTGGCATTCTATCTGGCAAACATTCTGGCACTTTATCTGGCATATCTTCTGGCATTCTAGCTGACATTCTATCTGGCATTCTATCTGGCATACCTTCTGTCATTCTATCTGGCATATCTTCTAACATTCTATCTGGCATATCTTCTGGCACTCTATGTGGCATATCTTTTGGCGTGGATACTCGCGGTTGAGGTCCGGCAGGGAACACTTGGCATGGATACTCGCGGTTGAGGTCCGGCAGGGAACACCGGGCGTGGATGGTCGCGGTTGAGGTCCGGCAGGGAACACTGGGCGTGGATGGTCGTGGTTGAGGTCCGGCAGGGAACACTGGGCGTGGATGGTCGTGGTTGAGGTCCGGCAGGGAACACTGGCACTGTGGATCGCGCTGTCGCAGTTGAGCAGGAGGACGAGGAGGACAACGAGAGGAGGAGGAGGAGGACGAGGCAGGAGGCAGGAGGAGGCAGGAGGAGGCAGGAGGAGGCAGGAGGAGGCAGGAGGAGGCAACTGACATAAAATCTAACAACCCTCACCTGGCAGGTGGGGAAAAAAATACTTTACTTCGTGTGATCCCCACCATGACATTTATACATTTTCTTACTGGCAAATCTTCTGGCATTCTATCTTACATATTTTCTGACATTCTATTTGGCATTCTATCTGGCATATCTTCTGGCATATGTTCTGGCATATCTTCTGGCATTCTATCTGGCAAATCTTCTGGAATTCTATCTGGCATATCTTCTGGCATTCTATCTGACATATCTTCTGGCATTCTATCTGGCATTCTATCTGGCATATCTTCTGCCATGTATTCTGACATATCTTCTGGCACTCTATCTGGCATTCTATCTGGCATATCTTCTGGCATATCTTCTGGCATATCTATCTGGCATATCTTCTGGCATGTTTTCTGGCATTCTATCTGGTAAATCTTCTGGCATTCTATCTGGCATATCTTCTGGCATATTATCTGGCAAATCTTCTGGGATTCTATCTGGCATATTTTGTGGCATTCTATCTGACATTTTATCTGGCATTCTATTTGGCATACCTTCTGGCATTCTATCTGGAATATCTTCTGGCATTCTATCTGGTATATCTTCTGGCATTCTATCTGGCATATTCTGGCATATCTTCTGGCATTCTATGTGGCATATCTCATGGCATTTTATGTGGCATATCTTCTGACATTCTATCTGGCATATCTTCTGACATTCTTTCTGGCATATCTTCTGACATTCTGTCTGGCATATCTTCTGACATTCTTTCTGACATTCTTTCTGGCATTCTATCTGGCATATCTTCTGACATTCTATCTGACATCTTTTCTCACATTCTTCCCGTTGAGGTCCGGCAGTGCCCACTGCGATCTGGAAGTCGCAGTTGAGGTCCGGCAGTGCCCACTGCGATCTGGAAGTCGCGGTTGAGGTCCGGCAGTGGCGACTGCGATGTGGAAGTCGCGGTTGAGGTCCGGCAGTGCCCACTGCGACCTGGAAGTCGCGGTTGAAGTCCGGCAGTGCCCACTGGGATCTGGACTGCGAGGAGGAGGCGGCGGGTGAGGAGGCCGGAGGAGGAGGAGAACAGCTCTGATAAAATCTAACAACCCTCACCTGGCAGGTGGGGAAAAACTGTTCAGGTCATTCTCTCGCGAGGGACGAAAATCTCAGTGCAGTGATGCAGCACCCTGACGGTCAGCTTGCAGTAACTATACATACGAGGCGATGGGAAACCCAACATGGACACCACAAGGGGATTGAAAACGTGCCAGCAACAACCACAAGGGATAAAACCATATCTAGATCATATAGACTGTAAGCAACCAAAATTGGATGTATCATGATGTTTCCATGGCTTCGATTGAACAACTTATCTTCGTGTATGGTCTCATTTTGAATGATTGGACAGTCATATGTTTTCTGGCTGGGTCCCATCAGTTCCATCGAAATGCACCTGGCATCCAGCATTGCTTTGAGCTGGGTCCAGCATTGCGAGAGCTAGCTACGCACGAAGCGATGAGTCCGATGTGCTGTCAGAGGTGGTGTAACTATCACCTTGGATCAAGAGCTGAGCGTCGGAGCCTTCCGGAGCCTGTCCGGATCTTTGAGAACCTCATGGTTACCCTCTGGTAATGACTAACAAAAAACTATGGAAAGATCCACCATTTTCATGGGAAAAACTCACTATAAATGGTGATGTTCCATAGTTATGTCACAAATTACCAGAGAGGGTACATCAATTAACTCCTCTAAAATGAACATTGTACCTCGTCATATAAGGTTTTTTATTTGATTTGTAATGCAAATGAGTTTGTCTGAAAACGGGGTATCCCAATCTCATGGTCGAGATATTCAATGATATTCATTCTCCTCATGAAACAGCTGGCTGGTGGGTGTACATTTTTTTGGACTGATTATATATATATATAACTATATATATATAACTATATATATATATAACTATATATATATATATCCTAATCTTAAAAAAAAACAATCCAATACCAAAATGCCATTGAATCACATCAAACCATGGATTTTGTCTGAAATTGGGGGGATCACCAACATCCATGCGACAATGGACAATCATCATTTTCCATCATGTTCTCATTAAGATAACATGATTTCAGGGACCCGACCATCCCGACCCTGGAAAACACCTGAAACTCCGCCGCCCAGCAACTCTCCACGACTTTCTGCAGGGGCACAGATCCTGACCGCCAGTTACCCTCCGGCCATGGAAATTCCATGAAATTCCCGAAGTAAATGGAGGTGTTCGTGGGAAAATCACTGGAAAAATCAATCCATGAAAATCTTTGGGGAATTTTCCCGGCATGTTTGAATACCGGGGCCCGTTTTTTTTTTTGAGAAACAGCCACTGGTGACTGTTTCACACTTCATGTCGTTGGCCCGAGTCGTTTCTCCTTGGCTCTCCATGGCACCAATGTGGATACCCATAGGCTCAGGATTATCAGGATTGAACAAATAATGGGTTGATGGTTGTGATTTCTACTCTCCCGTGATTTACCAATATTTACCCTATATTGCTATATTGTCATGTTTATCGTTTATACGGATACACTGCATATATGATCATATATGCATACAGTATATGTCCGGTTCCGCCAGGACTATTATACATAAATCATAATTGCTTTAGATTTAGATTGTGAAGCTAGGTTAAAGCGGAAAAAACCTGATCAAAAATAATGACATAAACAGCAGAACATGAGGCTACAAGTTATATGGAGATAGGCCGAAAGTTCCTGACAACTGTGGATGAAGCTGTAGCTTGCCAGTCTTGACCTAGCCCATCCCCGAATGGTGCTGGAACGTACTTATGGTGCAAAAGCCAACGGATTTGCACTGTTGAATGCTGCTATATGAATTGTCAATCGCGGACTGACGTACTCCAAGTCAAAAGGTTTGGCAACTCATGTTGCATTCCTACGGACACATGGAACCAGAACACTGTAGCACTGGCTTGGGATTGGATGATGCAAGATACTGAAAACAACATGATCACATAGAATATCTTCAAAAATCCTCGGTCATTCATTTCGCTAAAAAAATACTGGTTGGTCAATAGGGATTCCCATAATCGATTATCATAGCCCTCAATATTTCTTGGATGCCCCCGGCACGAATCATCAACGGATGCGTCAATGGTCGAGATCATCAATGGTCGAGATGATCAAGCTGAGGTGAAAAACTGCCAACATGGCATTGTCCAGAACTACAGCAGCCCTATAACATGATGTTTTGTCATTGTCATCATTTGAAACCAACGAACATGTTAACCAACCAAAAAAACATGTTCCGTCTTCAACCGTGCCATTTTTGGGCCTATGTGTAGCTACGTTTTGAGGAACAAAGCCATTGGTGCCCTGCCGTGGTCTCCACCGGCCACGTGCAGCCCAATCCTTTGCTGAGAACGTTGAGGTTGAATGACGTTGAGCGATGTTCCTAGCATGGCGGCATGGCGGCATGGCGAGATCGTCAGTAGCTTAAAACCCCAATTCCATCTGGAGCTATGTGCAACCCTACGTCAGTTCCTACCCTACTTATGAAAAATCTTATTAATGGGAGTTATAAGCTATTTACTAGCTGTGGCGAACCATCAAATAAACCACAAGATCTATGTGTATAGCCGTATAGCCTACCGACGAAGCATAAAGTCCGACTCCCACCAAAGGGCACCAATCTGTTCACTTGGCTCTCCTATGGATCAGTGGAAAAAATGGACAAAGCCTGTGCCGAGAACAGTTTTCTGTAGCCGAACATGTTTCTTTCTTGTGTGATTGGTTTAAAAACACGCTCTTTGAGGTTGCATGATGTGAATATGAAACATTTGATTTGTTGCTTGATAATATCAATGAACAAATTGATTTATGGTTTGCCAAGGAATCTTAAATATAGGATGAAACATAAAAATATCGGAAACCGGAAACCAAACCGCCATTCGGCCTACAAACCGGTCCATGAAACCTCCTTGCTCATGAAAATAATCAGGTGAGACGATTTTCCGTTGCCTTTCATTCCCAAGGGGCGAATGACAATGTGCCTTTCTTAAATCCTGAAGCACGTTTTTTTTGATGGAAAATCATCATGCTATATAATTAATGTTCTTCATTACAATGGATCGTTTCGGCTGGTCAAAAAAAAATCCGAACAACTGCTGGTCAAGTTCCACTTTCTTTGGGCTCACTATGTTATTTAAACTCGAAAAGAATTGCAAGTCAAGTACCAAATGAGCCAATCGTTCCTAATTCTTTCGCTAACCTAAGCAAAAAATAGTAAAACAAAGGTCCAAACTTGAAAAATCTAATATGACTTTCCGGATCTTTCTGCTCTTTTCCTCCTAATTTTCGGAACAAATGGTCAAAATGGTCCATGATGCTCGCCTCGTTCAGCAGCAATCGCTGCAGCAAAGCCTCCCGACCTGGCTAGGGGTGTCTAACATATGAATATGATTCAATGGGACTGGTATAGCCAACAAGATGATATATGATGATATTTCTGTGTATCTGAAAATTGGCGCATATTTCAATGAGGTAACCGATTTTACAATTTTACGTTTGAATTGGGCCATGATCAATAAAACACAACCACCCCCAACATGGTACTAGAACTGGCAGATTTGACCATCCAACAATGACCTGGAAAAACATGAAGGGCTCATCATGCTTCCCATGATAGGCGGCATTTGGGATTGGTTATCCAACGGTTGGATTCATAATGGACCCACATGGATGCACCAAAAAGATATGCCAACAAAACCACGTGTGTATATATATATATATATTCATATATATATATATATATATTCATATATATATATATATTGTTTATATCATTTTATATCAATGCAACAATCAACGGATGTCAAGTGAAACATCATGGGGAAGTAATGGCTGGTATATAAGAAATATTAAGAAATATTATAACCAACATGGATTAAGCAAAAGGTTACTAACAAAAAAAGTGGAAAACAACTGGGAGTCTACCAAAAAAAACACTGCTGGGATGAAACAACTACTATTCTTTCAGGTACTGTACTGTACTTCTGGGTTGGCGGATGTTGGCGGTTTGAACCTCGGACAAGCAATCATGTTCACCCAACCACTCAGGTCTTGGTCACGACACTATGCATGCAGTAGAAATAAATGCACTTGTTCGATGTTTACTGGCACATCTCTGAAGGCTGTCAATCGGCCAATGGCACAGCCGCACCTTCTTGGTAGAAGGCCTTCTCTTCCTCTGCATCGTCCAAATCTTCGGCCTCCTCATCCACTTGCTCATCCTGTCAATGGCCATTGGGGGGTTTGTTAAAGTCCTTCCCCTAATTAAATGGTGGATTAACTATTTGGAAACATTAAAATACATCAAAATCACCAGCAAAGCAGCAAATCCAGAAATACCCTTTTCAAACAAATCCATATACAGTCCGAGTCCTCCACAATTTCCTCTCGCACCACAGCAGAGGTGTCAATTATGAGAGCCTGGTAAGGGGGCAACTGCTCAGGCTGGGTCAAAATTTGGATATCTGTCGACTTTAAAAATGTATCGGGGGGTTGCGAAGTCTTGACCAATAAAGAACATCATTGGCCTGCCAAACATTCAACCCGTCAAACTCCGATGGTTCATATTCATTGAATAGGAGTTATTAAAAGGTATTAACACATCTTGTGGGTAGCGGGGTGGCGGCTGGACATTGCCCTGTCGAATTGCCAAATTCACCGGGCGCCATCTAAAATTAACTCAGCATGTTCGTATTGTTCTGGAACTGATGGCTCCAATAGTTGGGCTTGTAGATCTCCACACTTTTATTGCGATTCAAACGATAAAAACGAATCTGGCGAATTCATCCGCATGTTCGCGTTCTACTCCTGCGGTTCTGCTCCCGAAATTGTCAGAATATCACAGACTCGGGTGAACACAGCACGGACATGCACGGACAATGTGCCACTCTTATCTGAGGTACGGCAGGTACGGATTTCTGCTTCCCGATTCTTGGCGAAGGACGAGCTTCCGTTGATTCATTAAGGCCAGAGCTTGTGGCTTCTCAGTGTCAATCTATGTCAATCTATACTATACCGGTGGCTTCACAACACCATCGTCCAGTACCGAAGTCAAGTTGTGTTCGTGTCGACGTAGGGTCCGTGGACATCGCCTGCATGTTGCAGCTCCGTTCTTGAAGAGCGGGTCGGAACGGCCCAAATAGCAGTCAGGATGGTTGCCAGGAGCCTGAATGTACGTGACAATCTCTGTAGTGTTGACGGGGATTTCATTGCCCAAAACATCAATGATCGCTGCGCAGTCTCCGGAGCTTGATGCATTGAACCTCCTGATATCGTACTTTTTGCAACAGGACAACCCCAATGATGACCAGTCCAACTTTGGTTGTTTACCATGGAACCCTGGTGCAACTTCAGAGATTCCCCGCCAAGGGGCTATGAGAATGTTCAGCACGATGAGGTTGACAATCACCTCAGCAAGGCACCATCCCCAAAGGATATCACCAGAAATGGATGGCTATGAACAATGAACAATCAAGAATTTGGGGCTTTACCAGTAGGTCCACCACAGTAATAGCAATAGATAAGCAAAACCCTTAGCATCTGACTTCAACTTATATATATATATATAAATTTGCGATGAAAGACCCAGCTCATACTCACTGTGTCTTCCGGCTCCGCACTCCCCGGAAACATTGAAATATGTGTTGGCTGTCACCATATTCCAGGTGGGAGTCGTGTTGAAAGTAGCCTTTGGTCACCAACCCATTTGCAAACCCTGGCCGTATGGCCACAGTTTGGGGGAATTTAAGCAATCAGTCGACAGCTAAGTGCGGACGCTGGGGCATCAATGGGCCCACTCATATTTGGTATGTCTTGAGTATCCAGCCATCCGATTTAGGGATTTTGGTCATCATTTTGAACTATACCGACATGTTCAGTTTGGTCGATTTTCCTGACACTAAATTCGGTAGCCAAGAAGAAAAGGATGACTTGCTATTTCATAACTTTGCAGGGCCTCAAATCCGACCCCTACTTGATCCCCTTGCTACTAACAAGGGCTATCCTAACAAATAATAAAGATATATATATATATATATATACGCACACACACAAATATACATACTGATATACATAATATAATATCATAATATATACATATAATTTATGTCTATATATATATATATTATATATATTCACATAAAGTTACATCACTTGTTGATATGTTGAATTCCTTATGGGTGGTGTTCCATGATGTTTTCCACCAAGGCACAAAGAACAGGACGAAGAACGCAGCGGCATACGGAGTAGTGACCTCCGGGCCATGGATACCTTGTCCATCACCTGGTGGTTTCCATAAATGGGGGATTTCCAAAATGGATGGTTTACAATGGAGAATCCTATAAACCCCATACCCATTGGTAATTTCACAGTTTGCTATTGAAAATGGCCATAGAAGTAGAAATAGTTGATTTGACTAGATTTAACCATACAAAAATGGTGATTTTCCAGTTCGCTATGTTAGTTTACCAGAGGGTAAACCTGGTAGAAAAATAGCGTTTAACACATCCAAATCTCTGGGAATCATTTACAAATGCATTCCAAGTGGGGATGGGATAAATGAAAAGAGAACTTTTGAAACCACCAGCCATTTCATTGATTCCTGCCATGTCTTTATTGTTTGCAAATTGCGGTGCCAATTTGGGCAGAATTCGGATCGCAGGAGTCCGGATGATTAGAATATGTTAGAATGACGCCCCGAGAACTTGCTCCCAGCCATGGAATGTCTAACTATTTTTCTCGATTCTGGGTCATCTTCGAGGGGTGATGACCCAAACGTAGGATTGAGGTTATGTGGATTCATCTGAATATATTATCATATTTCACCTGAAAGGTTGGGTTATTTACCAGACACCAGCATTCCAAGACTGTCGCGACGTGAGGTCGCCCCCGTCGCGGTTCACCTCCATGAAGCCCGCGGCCAAGACGAACCAGTTGTTGATGACCATGATGCCTTTGATTTCGCATGGCCGTTGCGGCACTGACAAATCAATGTATAGATAGAGATAGAAACATGTGAGTACAGTTCAAAATGTTCAAAACAGGCTGGGATATGATGATAAAATGGAAACATACTAATTCTAAAATTATGTAACTTAACGAACATTACCTTCCAATAAAACAATATATATATATATCATATTGACATGATGATTTACATACCAAACACACAGTGGGTTGCATTGACCTGATCGCCTGGCCTGACACAAATATTATGTTCATGTAGGGATGGAACAAGATCTTTGGTTATACGATATCTTGGGGAATAAACATCCATTACCATCCATTAACCAGCTATACTAGGGCCTTAGGATTACAGTATATTAACCAGCTAGTATATTATGGCCTTAGGGTTACTTGTGGTACCAGGGTGTTGGCCCATAACCATTTCACTTCCACTTCCACTTGACAGTTCCATCACATTTCTTCGCCGGGTTGCAGAAGAGTGTGACCAAGCCTGGCGCTGGCCCATAGTTTTGGTGGGATGGATGGTCAACTCGTTCATCAAAGTGTATGGTTGTACATGTTTAAACTGTTCAAACGACTATGTTGTACATTGTTGTACTATGTTACACTATGCGTTGCTATGTGTTGCTATGTTATACCATGGCCTATGACCTGGTGCAAATATGGTGTTTCTGTTGGGATGTTTACCATGGAAATCCACGAGAAAACTCAACCAAATGGATGTTTTACCATCTGGTTCTGACTAACAGTTTGCCATGGAAAGATCCACCCATTTTTAATGGGTAAACCATCTATTTCGATTAGGGCCATCTATACCATGGCAAACTGTTAGTCATAACCAGAGGGTATTTTTAATGGAACATAATCCATGAATGGTGGATTGTCTATTGCCACGTTTGATTACCAAAGGGTATCCATTTCTGGTGTATGCAATTTTGGTGCGTAGCTATACCCCATGTTCCTCGTCTTTGCCAGCCTGGCTGGTTGCTGGCAAAACGTGCCTACGTATCTATCTATTGCTGCCCGTCTTTGCCAGCCTGGCTGGTTGCTGGCAAACCGTGCCTACGTATCTATCTATTGCTGTCCGCCTATCTGCCTATTCAAGTGCCTACAGTATCCCTATCTATCTATCTGTCTGTCTGTCTGTCTGTCTGTCTACCTTCAAAACCATCTACTGTATATAATCATTAAAAAAACAAACAAGCTTTGGCTGGTGACTGGTGACTAGACTTGAGCACAACATCCTGGAGAAGACAACATGTAAACATATATATATATATAGGTATGTTGTAAGTAAGACTGGCTCATCCCCCAAAACGGAACCCCCCACGTAAATCTGACACGTTTTTCGCGCCGGCGCCTGAGGGAAAGTCATCGAAATTCAGAGGCCAATACCTATTTTGGGTTGATCCCAAGTGGACCAGGCATTGAGGAGGGCCGGGCCGGGAGATCTTCGAAGATCTTCGCCATGTGAACATAGGAAAATATCGGAAAACATGATGGAAAAACAATGGTAAGATGATGGAAAATGATGATTAACCAGTGAATGATAGGACAAATGATGGAATAACTATGATTAATCAGTCGATGGAATGGGTATGTGCATGTATGTGCAGTATCCTATTTCCAGAAAAACCCAACTATCATATCAGGATGGTTGGCTATGTGGATGTAATATCCACATGATTTGCCTATCATATTTCCCCATCATATCCACTTAATCACTTATGTGCTGGTTTAACCACTATTTCTAGTCAAATGGTTGACGGTTGGTTATTTCTACCCCATATCCCACACTTCCCATGCATTTCCAAGGTTATATTCCCATGATTCCCGGATTTGATGCTCCCCGCAAGAGATCCCAATCTAGACCAAGAGACCCCAGTAATACAGTATATATATATATATTCTATACTTCACAATAAATCCATAGAATTAAATCCCATGAAAAACTCCCCTCAAACTTCAATCTCATTAAATTCCCATGAAATCCCAATGAAATTCGTTTCAAATCTTTCAGGCCCTATTAAAATCCCAGACTTTGGGCATCTTTTGGCTCATCAGCTGAGTGGCTGCGCCGCCGCATAGCCACTACCCTTGAGCGCTTCTGGTTGCATTCGACCACCAAAGATCTGCTCCTTGGGCATTGCTACCATCTTTAACCTACCATGTTACTCTACAAGTAACTGTGGCCCCCAACATACACTTGCTCACGCACACACACATGCAAATCTCAAAATACTATATACCAACATATAAACATAAATATGGTTATAGACATATACCTCTACACACACATATATATATATAAAATAATGCATGTATTAATAAATATATTATATATATATATACAGCATAGATACGCAAATAAAAACCATTTGCTAAATCTATATAATCTCTTCTCCCTATTGCTAAAACTCCGCCAATTAATATAGGATTGGATTGGCATGTTTGTATTTTTTGGTTGCTTACAATTGTGTTCTTAATTGTGGTAATCGAGAATCAATAGGAGAACAGGATGGTGAACATGTGTTTTTTACCCCCTACTAATAAAAATATAATCGCACCTGGGTTTCTATAATTAGGGTCCCAGTTTGAGATAAAACATTTTAGTTTTTTATCGATGTGTTTAATTCAATATTAGCGGAACCTGGGAAATCCAATTTTTGGCAATATGTTAATTAGATTTTAAAAATGAATTTAATCAGTTTTGAAATAGAACATCTTAGTTTAAAATGCAAAAACAATGCAGGCCCCTAATGCAAAACACCACTTAATAATAAAAATAGATCACCATGTTTACAATTTGGTTGGATGTTTTTTGTAATAGGGTGAAGGGATTATACATATAATATATGCATGTATCATGTGCGTACAATCTCGGAATGAATTAATCATAGTCAGCGTTCAGATAGGTACCCAAAAATAAAAACTCAACATGGCCCTCAGAATCGTCATTGCCTACATGCCGTCCGCACCAGCCAAGAGTCACCAATGGTGGCAAAGATATAGAACCTCCAGTAGGGAAGACTGCATTAACCAGTGACCGCGCAGAAAAACTGATCAAGTCCATGTAAAGGGATAACAGCAAACATCTACTCATTGACAAATCACTTCATTTATGATACATCTTACATCATCTTACTATTGATTTGTGATCCAACTGATTTTATGAAACTCCATAACCATAACAGTAGCCCTTTCAGAATTCAATCGATCCTGGTCAAGCAACACCATCAGCAGTAGTAATCCCAGTCGATAGTAGACTGGCAGCAGTCGGCCCAGCAGGGCCAGCAAATAGCGAAAGGCTGCAATATACCTTCCCACAACTCCACTGGAAGCTGGCATAAGCTGGCCGTGCACCAACTACTATTCAACTTTCCCCCTCAGAAAAACCATGGTTTAGTGAGGATCCTACACGTATTTGGATTAAGGGTGCTTAATATCAAACGGTGACATGGTGGTTATGACGCCGGATGCTGCGATTCACTCCTGGGCTGATCACTGGGGATGACCCCTTTTTTACCGAGTGGGAAGAACGGATTTGAGGCGCTGGAAAAGCAATGGACGTATAGATTCGTATAAGGTTTTACATAGCTATGTCACGATAGATGATGCCAAACATCATAAAATGAGGGCCGTGTCAGTCCAAACAATGTCCATTAAAATGCCTTAGTTTGAGCCGATGATAAGTGTAAATCAATCCAAAATCTGCTGATAGCGTCTCCCCAAAAAAGACGCACGGCACATTCCCGGCAGATTCCTCTCAGGAGTACACAGCCTGGAGCCTAACATCAACAATGTTCAAAAAATATGGCTGTATAATATGGGCTGATTAAGCATTAGCATCTATTCCTTTAATAGATCAATAAGCCTTGAATTAACATCCCTATCTTATGAATGAGTGAACATCTTACTAACAACAATCTATCAGCCATCAATATATTTCCCATATTTATTAACATCTCCATTTATAGGGCGTTTTCCAGCTGGCCATGTGTTTTTTTGTCCTATTATATTCTCATTAATCTCCATTAAACCATACTAATTAAATCCCATGAATCTACATTAAAGCCTTTTTTGTTCATGGTGAAAAATTGGTTAAACCATGTTTAATGACAGAGGAAGTGGTCATACGCAGTTCGAGGTGCTGCATGAGGCAAATCCCGCGACTGATGTGCATCACCAGGACCTAAAAGGAGCAGGCTCCATGCTACACGGCTGCATGGAGGGCTGAAAACCCAAGTTTCCATAGGTTTCCCAGGATCTCCCGGTTGAAGAAAATGATGAACACCATAAATCAACAGGATACCCGCATTTTTTGACGAAAAAAACAGGGTGATTCCATGCCGAGTGTCCGTCCGCACCAAGCAATCCGGCGCGCGCCCGCTGTAGGCCACGGCAGAAAGCTGTGTCGTCATCAGCAGAGCGATGGAGAGGACGTCGAAGCGATGGCGGTACTGCATGCGATTCCAGTACCTGCAGGTAGAAGGTGACATGTGGGCGTTGTGGCGCCACATGGTTTGATATGAACAAAAACTGAACAAATAAAACATAAAGCTCTTGGTCGTTCAATTATCTCTCTCCATTGTTTCATAGTCATTCATGGTCTATACAAACAGTTTCCAATCACGTGTGCTTGGTCAAGAAGGCATGGTTTAGGATGTGGGTTGCGCTGGATATTGGGGCGCATGTAGTACATGGATGGGATTACCCACCTCTATGTCTGCCAATAAAGAAAAGGTGAATCATGTGACCAACGCTCATGGAGGTCTAGTCACCAACAAAAATGGTGATTGATACACCAACAAAATGAGGTGCTTGCATGATCATGAACTAAGCAATCACATGACTCACATGACCAAACTCCTGACTCGAATTGAAACTAATTACCCATGTCTTGGGACCGCACATGTAAGAGGTGCATTGGTGAAACGCAAAAACACCAAAAAACGCATATGACCCAAATTATGCCCAAAAAGAGGTAGCCGAAAAGTAGGGATCAAATCTCATTCCTTTATATAGAAGAGGAGGCTCCAAAAAATCACAGTTCAATTGTTTCCTCTTAAAGCTGCTGATTTCCCCATGTTGTTTTTTTTTGGGGGGGGATGGGTTCCATCTGAAAAAAAACATCGGTGAGTTCAAGCGCAACGAAGGGCACCTGGCAGGTCCGATGACCAAAGACTCCAGAAGAATGGCCAAAGCAAAGAAGATGCTGGTGGCCTGGGGATGCCCCCAGATGGTACCCCCTGGCAGTCTGGGTCGGATTTCTTGGATTTCTGGATGGTGATATATGGTGATTCCCCCAATCATACTATGGTTACCCGGCCTGGTAAACGTTTACATAACTATGGAAAATCACCATTTATAGTGGATTTTCCCATGAAAAATGGTGATTTTCCATAGTTATGTTAGTTTACCAGAGGGTATTGACACACTTGACCCATCCCCAAATCTGCCAGGAATGGATTGGATTGTAAATTCATTATTGTTGCTGGGCCTTGCTGGTCCGGGTGACTGAAAAAACTTCCACGGAAGTATAAGATCCATAGCGGTTATATCATGTTATATCAGCTATATCCCAGTTGATGATAATTACCCTCTGGTAAACTAACATAACTATGGAAAATCACCATTTTTAATGGGAAAATCCACTATAAATCACCATTTTCAATAGCTATGTTAAATTTTCCAGAGGGTATCCATGTCAGTCCATATCATCTCATGTTTTCCGGCCATATATCCCACAATTGTATCCTGAGATTCAGGCCATCAAGGACTTGAACCACCTCAGTGATAGGAACGCCGTGGCCGTAAAGAGAGCCATGTTCATTCATTGATTCATTTGCCATAGCAAACTGTTGGTTTTAGATATTGGTAAGCAGTATGATGCCAGAATATGCTATCAGTCTAGATGATCTAGATGGGTTGCTGGAAAGTAGCCCATTGAGTTCGGGTATGTCCCAGCCAGCCATGTTTGAAATGGAGGTGTCAATGGAAAAATTATCAGAGGTGTGCCCAATGAAAATTATCCAACAGTGGAGATTGTCCATTGCCATTTCTGATTGTATACCAGTGTATATCCCCATTCTTAGCTGGGCTTGATTGTGAATGTTATGAACCACTTGCTCATCGGGAAGCACATCATAGGCACTAAGAGAAAGGCAGGCTTCTTCACATAGAAGTACGCAACTGAGCCATGAACAATACTTCTACCATCTGATTATTTAACAGTTTGCCATGGAAAGATCCTTTTTTTAAAAAATTCGGTAAACGGTAAACCATCTATTTCGATCGGGGCCATCTATACCATGGCAAACTGTTAGTCATAACCAGAGGGTATAGTTGACAACGGTTTCCATATGGCTTATCAGAATCCCCAATAACTGAGCTAGTCCCAACATGTCCCAATCAACCAGGCGCCATGTCGGTAGCCACGGTGCTGCCCCAGGCCAAGTTGTTTTTTTTTCACCAGGTAGTATACAATATAGAAGCCATATAGAAGCCATACTTTTTTGTTTGTAGATAGACAAACCCAACTAGCTGATATGATATGATATGATGTCATGTTGTATGTACTGGGCTTAAACTGCAGCAACATACATGTCATGTCACATTTCGGGGGAACCCGCTGGCTCCTAGCAACCCGTCGCCTGGCTCCAAGCAAGGTGCGGACTGGGAGGTCGCAAGGGAAAATCCCGAAACTTGCCACCATCACCTGGCGATTTCCGCACCCTACGATTCATGAACTGATGGCTATACCCCAATACTGTAAGCACCATTTACATCAATTTACATCAATTTTCCCTAGGACAATGGCACATACGGTGTGATGATGTCATTAATTATGAAACGGATGAAATGACATCAGGGTGAACATACAGACTGCAGCGTTTTGCGGTGGAAGAGGTTCATAGGGAGATTTGGCTAGATCTTTGATTATTTCCAGCTGTGTCCGTGTCCTATGTGATAATCATGGGACATGATTTTGATGTACTGCGCTCAAAATTCAAAAACATATTCGGAGTCGTTTGCCGACTTCTTGCCAAACACAGGAATTCTTCAGCAAGACAGGGTTTCACAAAAAAAGTAGAAAGTCGTGCGTCAAAAGTTGAGCCTGATATCAGCCTGCCCCGCATGATTCCAAATGTTATACCTATCATATCATACATATGTACACACATATATATATATATTATCATATACATACAATATAGATAATCCCATGGAAACAAAGGCATAGACATAGAAAAATGATGATAAATGATTAAATGGTGCCCCAAAAACAACCCCGCCCCCATCCAGGCTTCCCCTCGCCCCCATCGCTGCATCGCGGGGTGCCCCCACTGGGCGATACAAAGACGATGGTCTGCCCCAGGGCGAGCAAAACCTCCAACAAAACCACCTTGGTCCATGGATTGAAAAGTGATGGAGAAATAATGGCCATGTAATATAAATGATTGATACATGACTATCATGACTGAAAAATGATTGATAAATCATGATAAGTGATGATTTAAATTGGTATATATATAATACATAATATACATATGTATATATATGTATGTATATATATATATGTATATATACGAGTATAAAACCGACCTAAACCAAGAAAACAATAGAAGATGTAAAATCCTACCGATGACTTACAATTCTACGCTGATTCAAAACTCTTGACCTCTGGCATCTGAGATCTATAATGGCCGATGGCCCCAAACATTTCCCACCATGGCCATTTACCAACTGTCACGAGTGCTAAGATGTGCTCAGGCTGTGGACCATATCCAGAATCGCGCGCCATGAGACGCGAGATCCTCGCAACCTGCAGAGCTTTGGGATGACATGTTGGTCCTCTGAGGCGCTGAAAGATGGCTAAGTAGTAGCTATATATAGGAGCAACCGGTGACTGTTGAGTGGTGTTGCGCTGAATTTCCGTTGACCTGGGTTTTTAATCTGAAGCCAATGGTGAACCATCTACCATCCAGTAATACTTATACCTTGCCAACAGGCATCTGAGTTGCCAGTTCGACCCAGCCTGACTCCACGCATGAAGAGGTGTACCAGTTGCTTCCCAATCCAACTACCTTGGCCCGTGACTGTTTATGTTGAGTTTTCAGGACCCAAAAAACATCGAAAAAAATAACGCATGTCTTATTCTCTGAGGATCCTATAGTCTGGACGATCTTTGCCAAATACGCCGTGTGGGGAGTTTCCCCGTAGCTCCAATTGGCTCCCACCATTGCCGCCAGGGGGCTGGCTACTGCGGGCGCTGGCCGCATAGGAATGTAGATTGCGGGGTTGGACAGCACCTAACGCTGCAAATATCATCGATGGACTTAGCAGTCTCGGGAAAAAAAACATTTTTTTTAAGCAAGATCGACTGGAAACCACGTGCTTGTTGAACCTTCAAATATGGGGCTTTACTGCAAATCTTCGCCTCAACCAATTCTGGAAGGAAAAAAAACACGCCAGTCAAAATTCGGGATTTGAAAACCCATAGTGTGTGAAGATGGGGGGGACAATTCTTTAACTTAAGGCCTAAAGGTTAAATATCTTGTCAAACAATAAATAAACTAGGATCATTGCACCCGAAGTTGGGGCGCAATTGCAACGAATTACCAATCAGGATCTATCTACCCTCAGTAGATATATAAATGAATATAACACATAGAAAATTGTTATCTGGAATGCAAACAGGAAGCTACAATGCCCCTTGGGGCATTTGTTTTGTTACCCTTCTGTCATCCATGGATGGGAAGTCCCGGAACTGGATGCGTCCAAAATCATGGGAACATCAACGGTAAAAGTAGGGAGTTTCAACTTACCGGAGGGTACATAGGGTATCAATGGGTATCATGTTTCTTCCTGTGCAGTACTGTATCATGTCCCTATCTGCTCCCATCTGTTGCGGAACGCAAGAACGCATGATGAATCTTTGCACTTGTGGGATTCCAAAGCAATGCATCATTTTCCCAATCAGACAAAACAACCAAAAAACAACTCAAAATCAAGATGGCCGTGAAGAATGGAACGTATGCCACCAATAAATTCCCAACAAACAGCAGTGCTTGTTGGGTTTCATGCAACCCTTGCTGTTGAAAAGATTGGTTCTCATCAACGTAACAAGTGCTGACCGCGCATCTTTTTCCAGAAGAACGAGCTCCAACACCCTCTGGTAAACAAACATAGCTATTTAAAATGGCCATAGAAATAGTTGATTTACCCATGACAAATTGTGATTTTTCCATCGTTTTTTGTATGTTTACCAGAGGGTAATTCCAGCATCCATTGGTCCAAGATCATCCAACTTCACACAACATCCAGTGATAGTGATGTCCTTTTGGGGCAAACTACAGGTTATGGGGGCCGGTCATGGCCGGTTTGGTGTGCCATTTAAGTCATACTAATGAAAGATAATGAAACTACTACTATATAATAATACACATACTAATAATAATGTTAAGAATAATGATAATTATAATGATAATGATAATAATAATCATCATCATCATCATCATCATCAATAATCTGCCTTTCACTGGCCCATTCATCATTCAACAAGTAACAAGCAGGAAAAGGATTCTAACCTCATACCATATCAAACCCAAAGAACTATACATGTAGATTCTAGCCACCACAAACACAACATTTGTTGAAACAGAATTCTGCAGCCACTTATTAACCCCCTGTTTTCATTCACTTATTCACCCAGCACATCATCCCATCCAACACATCAACACATCATCTCCCGTCATCCCACCCGTGGGGCCACCGGGTGGCCTCCACGACCATGCAGAACTCGCGCTGCTCGATGTAGCCATTGCCATCCGCGTCCAAGGCGTGGAAGGTCCGGTGCGCCTGCTGTCGGATGTAGTCCTTGGTGACCACCGGAACCACTGGGAGAACAGGGGGGACGACTAAGGAAACGTTGGGAGCTGATGCTTAAGGCTTAAGGGATGTTTCTGATTGATGTAATTACTTTCGAAAGAAATCTTGAAGTTCTTGGTGAATACTTTTGGTGAGGTTGAGGTTCTTGATAAATGTGTTTCCCTGAGGCCTAATGGAAGGGTTTGGGACAAGACGACCTCTTAAAAGTTGAACAAAAACCACAGAAATAAACAATACTAACTGCATCTGGCAATCGCTACTTCAAAGTCAAGAGCTCAAACATCCCTTAGAACGGCACTTGGCATATTTGAGCAGCTTACTCCCCAAAAAAGGCGAGAAAGTTGACAATTGAACCAATCAAAACAAGAAGAGGGCTGGAAAATCAATAGCGCCAACCAACTGAACGTGATTCCATCACGGCTCTACTGAGACAAGGCACGAAATCCTTGTCGGACATGAAGTTCAAGAAAATCCTTGCAACAAAATTCCATTGAATTTGCTCATGTTGGACGATATTTTTCCAAGCTACAACATATAACGCAGAAGTATCGACCAAATCAAGGCTTCCACAAAAAGTTGTATCAGAACACATGCGGATGCTGAATCAGACTGCAAAATCTGCAAATCATGGCCAACCTTGGGGCCAAGTTTAGATACGTAAACATCGCCGCTGAGTAACTATCCCCACAAGCTATATTAATATTAACCAAAGATAACCAAATTACCCAAGGGTTTATAAACAGCATACCCCCAGAACAAGACACCGGCCATAGGCAGTATAGAAGGCTACCCACCTGTGGAAAGTGGCGGGCTCTGGCTCGGGAAACCCATTTGGGGATATTTGGGGTTTATACGAGTATCACCCATTTGGAGATTTTTGGATTGGCCACACAAGTGAAAATCCAGGAGTAATATCTACTTTGTAGGAATCTACCGGAACCTATGGGAACATGCGCTTGTTTTTTCCACCAAAGAAAATCATAGCTCGGATGTCGGCCCAAAAAATGATCACGTATTCCACAACTCATCTGCAAATGGCGAATTTGCCAGTGAAGTGGCACAGTATTATGAACTCTGACCTAGTGGCATAGAGTGTAAAAAGCAAGCACGATGTTGGGTCGATCCCAAGCTTGTTGGTGCATCCCCCAATAACGCTTTTTCTACATTGTAGCTGCCAAACATATCATTGCTGCTGGCCAAAAAAACGCCCATTTACCTTTCATTACCTAGGTTTTCCCAGCTTGCTGCTGATTTTCAATATCTAAACCTCGATACCAAGGATAGAATCACAAGCTTAAACTCCCAAAGTGCGGTGGTAAACTGTGTTTTTTATTAGTACAAACGCAATGAGTTGTTGGAATCGCCACTAGACTAAACTCGTCATGTTTGCTGGCAAAGTCGTTTGCTTTTGGCGGCAATCTCACCACTCTTGCGGCTCAAAGCTCAATTTGTTTGCTAAGGAAAGTCCAACCGTTTGTGGTTCTTCATATTAAATCGCCACTTTTTGGGGGTCTCCTGTTGTGGTTTTCCGGTCGCACCTCTCCATGGTGATGACCGACGATCCCTCGGGCGATGCTTCGCTCAGCACGTGGAAGGCTTCGGAGATGGCGGTGCTCTTCCTCGGCGGAGATGGTGAGCCACGAGGCCTGTCTGTTGTACAAATGGAGGGTTTGAGGCAAGACTGGTGGTCTTGATAGGTGTTTAATAGGATGAAATGAGGTTTCAATGAGCTTTAATGGGGTGAAATGGTAGGTTTTAGCGTGTTTTAATGGGGTTTTGAGATGGTTTAAGTTGCTGAGGGCTTTATGGCTAGTTCAATAATGATTTCGACGGGTTTTTGGGTTTTCATGGGCTTAAATCGAGTTTTGGTGATTTTCCTATACGGTTTGAACGGATTGATTTAACGGGCCGAATGAGCGTGGAAGGATGTTTTAACGGCTAATTCGATGGGGTTTCAATACTTTCAATGGTACACATGATATACCAATGTTGAATTACAGTATATATATATATATATTGAATTGTTTGAGCACAATACGGGTTGAAACATGTTGAAACCAGAGCTTCAATTCAATGTGTTCTTTCTACCCACCAACTTGTTAAGTCAGCCCAGTGGATTTTCCCTTCAACCGATTCTGGGATTCGCTGGGGTTTAAAAAATGGTTTTCAGCCCGGCCGCGCGCGACCGAGTGGCAAACGGAGGAACTTGCACAGTTGTTCTTTCAACTGATCCTGGTATACATACATATATATATATACCTGGAAAACTGTATGGACATGTTTTTTGTCCATTATGGGTTTTACCCGTAACGGACGTTTTTCTTGTTCAATTGCGTATTTTGGTTTTTGATTGTGAAGGGTTGTTCAAATACATATAAATACATATATATTATATATATATACATATATAGACAGTGTCAAGCTGTTTCAACCCATGATTCTCTGGTGGTTTGGTGCCTTGGTGTTTTGGAATGCCAGGGTTTTCGCTACCGGAATTCCCAACCCAAAGAACCAGTGGCCTAAAGCAACAAAACTGGCCACACACACACACACCAGCGCGGATATTATTATGAATGAACCACGTGCCAAATGTGGTCAAACGAAATGCACTTGCAATGCAATCAGCAAGTCGGCATGTTTTGCGCGGCAAAACGGTTGATGCAAATGGCTCTGGATACTTGAGGAGCCAACGGAAATCATGGACAGGATGGATCAATGCTCAGAAGCAACACCAAAATCACACTGCCATATTTTCTTTTGATCCATCTACGTCCCTAAGCTGTATGGTGCTACGCTGAAGCCACTGAATCAATTCAAACATCAGGGCTTTGCTAATCTTCGTGAGGCCGTCTGCCCGTTGAAGATGGGTCGGTACCCAATGTACAGTTCTATGATCTATCAGCTCTTGAATCGATCTAACATTCACCAAGCTTCGCTTGTCTTGGATGCTTGGGTTCGGCGAAGCTACAGTGTCATACAGGCTTTTGCAGTCTGTGACAAGAAGTGTTGTGAGACGTTTACCTACTCTATGAGCTGGGATGCCGAAAATGAGTTCTCCCAGCATGTAGCTCAAAAACGCAAGCCGATCGGTCGCAGTGTCAGCGCTCACTGCTTCAGCTGCCAGAGTAGAACGGCAAACTCTCTTGCTTCTGCCAGTCTTCCAGTCTGCAATGGCTCCAATTGAAGTGCACTCAGTGACATTCGCAGAGGTCAACATGATGATCTGTCCATGTTGGCTGGCAGATCCCTGTGCGTTCGCCCAGGATGCATCACTGTACCCAACAATCACAGCGCTCTGATCAATGGGGACAGCCCGGATGCAAATGCCAAGTTCTGCAGTTGACTTCGCAAAGTCCAATGTCTGGTTGAGGGCATCCAGATCAGCATAGGTCGTCTCGGACCCACGATTTGACAAGGAAACTGCGCTGGCTAAGTCAAGCCTGCATTGTCCTGCCAACCATTGAAGACATCCGCTCACTGACCGAAACTCAGGCCAATGCTCATCAGAGATCTTCGTACTCATCTTACCTTTCGGAATTTTCATGCCCTTGTCCAGACTGTTGATGAATGTAGTCTGAGTGATCTTGACATAGAGCTCGTTCTTCTCATCATGACATATATGGATCTCTTTGCCCTTGAACGTGAGAGGTGCTCCGGGCTGCGCATACTGCTGGGATCCCCATTTGAAGCTGGCTTGGAACTTCTCAAAGGGGAAGCTGGAGTTGTGAGTGAGCAGAAAATCATCCACATAGCAGATCAGCAAAGCGCAAGGTGCAGGAGCGTTGTGTGGATCAGGGAACCAAAACAACATTTTGTCAAAAGAATGACAAATAAAGCCTATTGCTTCCAATCTGCGGCTCACTTCAACAGCCCAAGTATATGGGGCATTTGAAAGTCCATATATATTTCCAGTTATCTCATACAGCTGACTTTTGAAAACTTTGGCTCTTTCCACTATGGGATCCCTTGGAGGTTTCAGATACAGCTTGCCTGCTCGTTCTGACCAATCTGGATCCCCTTGGAGAAACGCAGTGGAGGCGTCTCCGCACCAAAGAAGCCAAACATCTCGACTTCCAAAAGCCTTTGAATTGGCGCCAGAAACAAAGATGATGTACACCAACATCTCTGAAGTCCTCGTTGGAGTTGGAGCCTGTCTCGTCAAGTTGACTAGGTCAGGGTCTTGGTTGCCACGACAGACTATTCTGGTCTTGGCCTTCAGCGGTGGAACATTCTTGTTCTTGTCCCGATAGCATCCCCTGGAAGTGATGATGCGCTTCTTCAACTTCGGGTCATTCAGGATGCGCCGAGCTTCATCGTCAGGAATCGGCTGCAGGGACTTCCAAGTGGTGAAGCTGTTTGCCTCCTTGATGGTGGCTTCGACGAAGGCTTGGATATAGTCGTCAGACTGCTGCATGATTTCTCGCCAGCTAAGTTCTTTCTCCTGAGCCTTTTGCTCTTTCCTGGTTTTTCTAGGCATGCCTTTCGACATGTCATCAAACTCTTCATCTGACTCTGAAAGTGTCGTTTCAAAGTCGTCTTCTTTCTCCGCAAGCTCGTTGACATAGGCAGTGATGAAGGTCTTGGAAGAGCTTGGGAGGCAATTGTCAGGGCTGCCATCCCATCCAGGCTCAAAGGAGTTGAGCTCACGATCGCTCGCAAAGAAGCTGGGAGCTTGTTTCGCACCAACATGCCATAGTTCCGTCAGGGTGCTCAACTCTGATCCAAAGTGATGGGCCTCTTCATCGTCATTGTCGTTGAAGGGACCTTCAAAAATGATGTCGCCCGATGTGGCGTCCAAAGTGCGCCTCCATTTCACTGAAGACATGGGTGGTCCAGTGGACATTGTCTTCTTGGGCGATTTGGTGAGCAAATCAAGCCTTGCCCAGCAGCGTAAGCCTTGAAGAGGTGGCCCATAGAAGCTGCGGTAGTTGTAGAGCTCGTAGGACCTCTGTGCAACTCTTCTGGCTCGTGTGAGTTGTGCTGCCAGGGTTTCAAATGGCCGCTTCAAGACTGATGTTGCTTCAATTTGATTAGGGATCCTGTGCTGCTTGCTGTGCATCTTCCATCAGTTCTGGCGGAGTCCGTGGAACAAATTGTCCCGGATCATCCAAATCATCTGTGAGATCCACAACTGGCTGAATGTTGGGATCAGTTTGTTGTTTTGCTGTATGTATGGATGGGTGTAGATGTGGCTGTGGTAGAGGTGGCATGGCTGCTGTGCTCTGTGTGTATGGTGCCGCATCTGTGGATGCTCTGGCGGTGTTGGCGTGTCTGTCAGGTGTGTGTGTAAGTTCTGCTTGTCTGCTTTGTATCCTGTGTCTTGTCTGAGTCGGTGTTCTTGATCGAATTCTTCTGGATGGCGTATGGGGAACTGGTGTTCCAGGTGCTGGCTCGTTGAAAATGTTCTGTGTTTGTTGTATGTTTTGATGTAAATGGATTAATGGTCTTGATGATGGTTGCTGTGGTGGTTGTGGAGGTTGAATCTCAATAGGCTGGTTGCTGACTTGAAGATTGGACGTAGATGGGGCTTCGACTGCTTCAAGCTGAGGAGCAATTGGCGCATTCACTTCTGGGTACTCAAAGTCCAAGTCCAATTCCCCAGAAGCTTCAGCGACTTGGTCAGGTGGATGAACTTCTTCTGGAAGGGTCTCGTCAGTCCACAAATCTGACCTGATGTTGTCCTCCGCATTCTTGAGAGCTTGAAGATCTTGACGATCAGGGACATAGTCCTCATAGCCGAAGACATCTCGAACTTGGGTGTCAGCAACTTTGACAGTATGACTGCCACTTTGAAGCCACAGAGTTTTGCCATCTGGATCTTTTCCCAAATACCGCGCAATGCGGTATCCTCCACGTTTGCGATGAGAACGTGTAGTCCATTGCCAGTATGCCAAGAGGGATCCTGGCTGGGGCTCAAGCTGCAGCTGCTGTGAAGTTTTGCGAAGCAATGCCCTTCTCAAAGTCGAAGATGCTGAGGCCTCTGCAATTGCTTTCAACGCTTCGCATCTCATCAGGGCAGATTGCTGCTGAGCCTCAGAGCGAGACGAGCCAGAAATCAAAGCCCGAGGGTCGCTCAAAAGGTCTGTGCCAACTCTTGGGATCTTTCCAAAGGCTGCGATGTATGGTGGTCGCCCAGATGACCAAGTGGCTGAGTTCTTGGCCTGAAGTGCTGAAACAATGGCCAAGTCAATGTCATCCGCATCGGTGCAAGGCATGGAGTCCACGATGCGCTCCAGGAGCATTCTAAGCGTTCCATTGTGACGCTCGATCACGCCCAGCTTGTAGTGAGCTTCTCCTGGGATGACATCTAGATAGGTGCCACCTGCGCTCATCTTTTCGTCAAACTCAGCTTTGAAGGCGCCATCATCATCAACTGCAAGCCTCAAAGGAAATCCAAAATTCTGAAGCCAGCAAAGTCGAAGTGCATCAAAAACCTCAGATGGATTCCTGGAAGTCAACCTTGTGGCAGCATGCAAATGAGTTGCTTCGCAAATCACCCCAAGAACCGGATGGTTCTTGGAAGTCAAATCCCTCAGGTAGAAGATGTCCGCCTGGAGGTTGTCAGCAAATTGCCCAATGCACTGTGGAGGTGCCGCTGCTGGGTTTGGTCGAAGTGGAGCTCGCGAGCGAGCGCAAGCTGCACATTGCATATTTTTGATGCATTTGATCACCTGGTCGCTGGTGATGCCATTCAAAGCCAGCAGCTTCAGCATCTCTGGACCTGGAAGATGTCCAAGGTTCTTGTGCATTCTCGACACCGACACCTTGATGGATCTGTCGATGCCTGTGGAGTTGGGAAAAGTGATTTCATCATGGTAAATCTCGGAGTTCTGAATTGGTTGTGAAGCTTGAGATGGCTGAAAGTTGCCTGCCTCATCCACAGGAACTCCATCTCGCATCATGGCCTCTTCGGCTGGGATACCTTGTTCCTCATCAATCTCATTGGGGTACCCATACCAGAAGATGCCCAACTCAACAGGTGCCTTGAAGCGTGAACGTGGGAATCTGAGTTCAGTCAAGTCCTCAGTGATGACATCAACTTCAGGATTGTCCACGTACCTGAGAGCTGCGCCTCGATGGGTGTATGGAAAATGCAATGGATGTCGATTCACCAAAGGTCTTCGAGCGACCTGCACCCGAGTGAGCTGCCATGGAAGCATTGCTTGAACTTGAGCATATAGTGGTTCGTGAGGTTGGATGATGGCATCTCGCGAAGTCAAAAAGTCCATATGCTGAGATGCCAACTCCATCACGTTCCTCCAGCTCTGTTGGTCATCCACGGGCGTGGAAAAACTAGCCAGGACTTGCTTGGGCTGAAAACGGCATGGGTTTCTCAACTGAGCCACCTTCTTGATGCCCTTGAGAATTGCCTGGACTAGACCCATGGGATAATGTTGTGACAAGGTAACCTCTTTGCCTTCCAGGGGAACGCACAAAGCAAGCTGCTCGGCGCTCAACTTCTTGGTCAAAAACTCCAAGAGCATGGGATTGTTGGATGCAAACTGGAAGGTCTTCTTGATGGGTTCACCTTTTGAATTCTTGCCTCCATATGCTCCAGAATGGCATTTGACGATCTGGCCATTGGTATATTCAAGCATCTCCAAGACTGATTCCTCCGACCAAATCCGGCTTCTTTCAGGATTTTCGATGAGGTAATAGTTGCCGTCATCATGTTGTTGTCGGCACCATTCCATGGATTTGACCACCGTAGGTCGTTCCTCATCTCTGATCCTTTCAAGTACCTCAGGACGGTCGTTATAGTTCATGTTTTCCTGCATGACCAACCATGGAGTGCAATGAAGGCCTTGAAGAAGAACAAGTGGGTGCAAGGCCTTTCGAATTTTGAAGCACCAGTGTTGACCTTCCACCGTAGAAAGATCAGTGCCAGTGTTATAGTCCAATGGCATGGCTGCTGTCAAAACATACTTGGAGGCATTCTTGCTTACCAAAGCATTGCCGGCAAAGGTCTCCAGAATGTCGACCTTGTTCCTGGAATAGCGATGTTTGTTCGCCAGAGCTTCATAAGTATCTGCTTCCACCTGCAAGGCATGTCGAGCCTTGCGAATCTTGCCAATCAGGTACTTTCGGTGGCCATCATTCAACCCTGGTCCTCGCCCCAGTCGTACAGATCTTCCTGACTGCCTGTCTCCTGCCACTCCATCTCCAACTCTGGGCCCTCTGCGGCCATGTTCAAAAGTCGTTGATAATGAACCTGGTGGATCTGATGGATGTTCTCGGCCGTGAGCAGGTTGAGGTTGTCCAGAACATGTTGAGGAATCTCCTGCACTGTAGGCTCGTTCAAAGGACTCTGAGAAGATGGATGGCCACGGCTCTTGGCTTTGGGTTTGGCTTTGGCTTTGGAGGTTGTTGCTCTCAGGGACCTCGACGTCGAGGATGCCGGCAAAGTGTTTGAAGGTGAGGGCTGCGGCAAAGAAGAGCTTGCCGATTGTGCGAGCCCAATGTCCTCCCAGCATTGATTTCGAGGATCCCATTTGCGTCTGGTGTGACACAGGGTGCACCTGGCGAAACTGCCCTTGGGATTGCCGTACCTCTTCCATTCCGGATGGGTGCATTCCGATGGGTGGTACTGAGCGCTCCTCATCTGTGAAGCCAGTACCTCTTGTTCTTGTCGCATCTCCCATCGCTCCCTCAGTGTCAACCATACGCGGCTCGCCAATCCCACTTTGACCATTCGAGACATCCATCGAAGGGTCATGAGCTCCAAGTTGAGCACTGCCAAAAGGAGTGCCTTCCATCGGAGCAGCCATTGAGGAACGGGCTGTCGAATCATCAGAAACTGCAAACACAGGGGCTGGCTGATCTCGAGGAAGTTGCTGCTTCAGATGCAAAACGTCACTGGTGGCAATGATCTCTGGATGTGGATCTTTCCAAAAACTCTCATGTGAAAGCGCATGCCAAACAGGATCTTGATGAACATGTTCATGAAACTCTGAAATTGAAACTGCAAGATGTCCATTGATCTTCTGAATCGGCACTGAAACATCCAACGCTCTAAAAAAAACTCTCTGCTTTCCCAGATCAACCACTGTGTCCAGCTGTTCCAAAAACGTGTTTGAAGCCAACAAAGGAATGCTAGTGTCAACCACGCTGGAACCTATCAAAAACAAACATCCACCCAATGACACCGGCATGTAAACTCGGTCCTTGGCATAGATAGGCTGCCCACGACCAAATTGGAAAGCCTCACAGGTGTCAACATGCTTGACCATCATTCGATGTTGGCCGAGGAGATGGACTTGTTGGGATAGCCATTGGGTGCCACAACACATACGCTGACATGCAGTGTCTAAAATCATAAAACCAACCAGTGGGGTCATATCGGTCATCATGATGTCATATACCGGAGTGTTGATATTCACAACCATGAAGGAGAAATAGTTAGGAACTTCAGGATGATCAGTTGGGAGATGTCGAGGCTCAGAATCTTGATCTTGAGACATGGTGAAGAAAACCTTTTTCGCAGGCTTGCCGCCCTTGTCAGGCTGGGATTTTCCATCCTTTGAATGTCCTTTCCCAGCACCTTTTGATGAAACAGTACATTCTGCATCTCCGGCCCAGTGCCCTACACTTCCACAAGCGCTGCAGTGGCTGGTGCGTTTCCGGTCCTGAATTGACCGATTGCCAGAGTACTTTCTCCCCAAAGTGATCGACTGAAGTTTCTTGGCTGTGACAGTCAGCACTTCAGCAACTGACTGCAAATCAACACCTTCAGATTCTGCTTCTCCATCAACATCATGTTCCTCAGCTGGCTCATCCTGCTGAGGCTGACCATCTGGTTCAACTGCATCTTGAACATCATAGTACGATTCAGCGTCTGGCTCTTCTTGTTCTTCTTCGACCGGATCAAGATCCTGGTGCTCAGTCGCAAAAGCATGGCGAGGAGCAAAACCACTCTTGCCAGAGCCCTTGCTTTTGCCCTTGTTTCCTTTGGAAGACTGTGAGGCAGCTGAGCTGGTGCTGGCAGAGGTCGAAGAAGATGAAGATGACCAGTCACGCCTTGACTGAAAGGCTTTGATAGGCTGTCCATCTTTTCCAAATAAAGGTGGCGGCGGCTTGTGCTCTGGAAACGACATGCAAAGACTTTCAGCAATGGCTTCGAAGGACAAGTTGAAGGCCGATCCAATCAAAACCAATCTGCCGTTTTCAGGCGACAGCCGAGATCTCTCTAACAGCCTATTGCCCATTGACTCACTGTCGTACATGCCACTTGCAGTGACACCGACACTCTCAAGGGCTCGTTCAGCTCTTCTGTATCGGTTCACAAAAGCTCTCATAGACTCATTGCTCTGTCTCACAATGGTCTCAAACTCTGACATCAACTTCCTTTTCTGGTACACCATCTTGGTCTCCAGGCCTTTCTTCAACAAACTCTCCACATAGTCAATGCCTGTAGATGAATGCAAACGATCCAAGTCAATGTGCTCCAGCTCCTCCTCCGGCTCACCAGAAAGACTCGTATATAACATCAGCGCCGCATCACGCAGAGGCATGTAGGCTTGGATCTGTCGCTTCCAAACCTGCAGTTTGTTCTGCCACTTTGCAAAGCTCCTGATATCATCTCTGGAATAGCGCCATGCAGGTGGAGCTGGTGGTGCTCCTGATCGAAAACGAAGTCCACGCTCAGGCCCTTTTCGACTGTTCCAGCTGTCCTGAGACGAGGATCCATCTGCATTGTTAGTGTTAGTCTTTAGGTTCGGTACATTCGCATTCTTCAGGGTCGTTACCAAGTCATTCAAACTGCGGTTGAGGTCACCAAGGAGTTCACCGGAACGCTGACTTAGTTCCGAACACTGAGAACTGCGATCTGACTGAGGTGATTGTTCTACATCAGGTCTTTTCCGGCGTCTTCTCCTGCGAGGCCGCTGCAAATCTGGATCAACCACAGGATCTTCCGTAGGATGCTCAGACTCAGCATGCCTTTCATGGCCATCATCATCCAATGAGCCTTCTGAAGGGTCAGGTGGAGGCCAAAAACAGGGTGCCCTAGAATCCGGCTGCAGTTCCACGGACTCAACTGAGTGAACAGGGGAATGGCCAGGTGAATGCCGTGGCATGAACATCCATGTACCCTCAGGAATCTCTGCTTTCACAGTTCTAGAAGCATCATAGTATCTATCACCATCACATTGGACACATCTCCAACAGTCATGTCGCCACTCGAATTTGTGATGATTACAGGCCATGCATCGCCAAAGTGAACTAGAAGCTGCACTAGCGGAATGAACTGGGCTCAACAAATCAACGGGTGGTCCTGGAACTGGCGCATCGAGCAATGGCGAGTCACAGGAGTCGATGTGGGTACGTTGGCCAAACATCTCGATGCACCAACGCAAGCTCCGGTGCCAGATGAATGAACCACGTGCCAAATGTGGTCAAACGAAATGCACTTGCAATGCAATCAGCAAGTCGGCATGTTTTGCGCGGCAAAACGGTTGATGCAAATGGCTCTGGATACTTGAGGAGCCAACGGAAATCATGGACAGGATGGATCAATGCTCAGAAGCAACACCAAAATCACAATTATAACTATGTCTTTACTATGTATTTACTTTGTATGTACAATGTATATATATATATACACATATATATATACACATATACATACACATATCTATATATATATATATGTATGTATGTATGTATGTATGTATGTATGTATGTATGTGTATATATATATAATCAATAACTAAACATACATAACTACATATATGTTACATATAACAAGCAAATATACGCATGCAATTCACCCCATCGCGATTCTACTTGGCTGATGTCTGTCCTTGTAGGCGTCGTAGACTGCGGCTAGGAGGACGTTGTTGAGAAGGTACAGGCAAATCAGCAAATACCTCAGGTGATATCATGGAATTCTCAAAAACCCTGGCGGCCCAGGTAGTGATTTCACCAAATGGCAACGACTAGCTGCAAGGCCAATGTCCGCTTGCAAATGGAGTGACAGAATTGTTGGCAAATACTTTCTAATACTTTCTATAGTTTTCTATAATATTTTACACTTCAACATGTGATATCACCATATATGACCCCAGATGTAATTGTTCTTGCAAATGGGTTGACATTGTGACAAACAACTTGTGTAAAACTGTCTGTTTCATGTTTCAATAATGCTGACCGGCCCAGAAATCACATTTTTCCGCAACGCCCCAAGGCACATGAAGAAGAAAAAAAAGGAGGACCGCGTCTCGGTGTAGGACTGGATCATCACATCCGGGAAGTTGGCTGTGGTAAACAGGACCCACCTGGTCGCACTTGGCACCGAAGCTCGAGTGATACACGTGACCCGTTAGGACCTACCCTCCAAGTGAAAAGGCTATTTGAAGAAGGAAAAAATGAGAACCTGGTTGATTTTGAGATACGATAATTTCAAACAACCCGACCCCATTTGGTTGATGTGTTTTTGTGCATTCGTAAAATGCAAGCAGTATTCAGCACTGGTTGCTGTTGAGTATGGTGATGTTGATAGTACATGTTGCAACAATAGAGCGGGCGAAATGGGACAACCAACCACAAAATTGTATATATATATATATACAATAATCCTCTCTGGCAAGGGATTCTGGCGGCAACTGGACACATATGACACATGACTTTTCGGGAGAAGCCTTTTTGTTGGTACTTGCCACTATCCTGTATATATATATAATATATATATATATGTATATATATATATATATTCATACAATTGCATAACATGATTGCTTCAAACCCCAAAAAAATGTGAATTCCTGGGTTCCATCGGGTTCGATATCTGCTAAGTTGATTAATTGCAATGTGCATGGCCAACGTCACATCGGTTCGCTTCGCCAATGAAAAGCAGTTCTCTTCCATCAAATTGGCTTCAACCAAGCCATGAGTACAACCATATATAGTACTAGATGAAAAAGCAAAGCCAGCTCATTGGAAAAAACACAAAGAACAACCAACAAAAAATAAATCGCTGCACTGCATTTCAGGCTAAACATCAGGCCATTCAGCATCCATTGGCCATGGCACAAGGAAGCTAAAGCCTCAGGCCAATCATGGAAATGTTCTCGGCCTCGTGAATTGAGAGGAGGATTGGGATGACTGCAGACATGCTTGTTCGTTGGATTGCTGATGCTTAAACCAATATATATATATATACACATAAAAACCATAATATATGTGTATTATTATATTATAATTTATTATATAACTATACAATTTCGTTTACTTATGGCCAGCTCTGCTTGTGAGTGGGAATGGACCATCTGAGAACGCACACACTGGTTTGATATCAAGGCACCGACAGGTTCGTAATATTTCGTAATGACCGTGCCAGTTTTCCACTTCTATGGATTTGGGTCCAGAGCTGCTGGTGATTGACCACTGGAATTTCAAGGGATTTCTGGATTTAAAAGCTGCTTTCAAACTCTTTAATCCAGAGGCTAACAAATGTTCTATGTAGCCAGTGAGGACAAATACCATATACGCCGCAAACCCTATTGATGGATCCCACATATCCTTTGACATGCTCAATTCCCCGCGTACGGCAAGCGTTTGTTTAAACCCTGAGCCTTTAAACCCTAAAACTCTAAACCCTCAAACCCAAAATTCTGAAAACCAAAAGTCAAAATGGCTGCGTTTTTCGCCAATGTTTTCGTTCATCCTCTGGTGGGGCGAACGTGTTTTCGTCTGTGCCTTCTTCGCTGCGGGAGAAGACCACGATGGCCAGCCACGTGAAAAAGAGCACGGCCACCTCAGCCACGGGGATCCACGGGGGGTGGATAAATTGATCAGTTTTGAAGGTGGTTTCCCTGGATTCTATGTAGCCAGCGTGTTCTCCGAATGACGTCTTCAAGCCTCTCATTGTTTGATGCTGCCCACTCCAACCTCCCAATAATCATAGCAATCAACATCACTCTGAGTCTGGTTGGTGGTTGACACACCGACCCCGAAAATATCAATGCCATGTCTGTGCACCATCTCACTATAGAATTCAACAAAAACAAACATGCAACTACCAACAAAATTATCTAGAGTTGATTCCATATATTCCATCTATCCCATCAAATTATAACACGTATCCCCATTCTGATTGGTAAACATGGGGTTGCCCCAAAATCGGGTGCCCCCTGATTCCCCAAACACTCCTATGGTTTCCCATCATGTTCCTCATCAACATGGCAATTTTGTGGTATACTAATCTGTTTCATCTATCACCAAAAAAAACTTCACCCACCCACAGAAATCCACAAAATGGTTCAGACAACACACATATTCGATCCCAAACTAGTCATAAATTCATCCATGTTGCTATTTCAGTACCAATCCATCTTTTGGGCATTCTTCTCATCCGCTAATTCCCGCTATTTTTGTGGTATTCCAAACTACGTTCCTGGGCCGTCGGGCACCAAGGGCTGCCAAAATGTCCCAGAAGTGCAGAGCACTTCGCCAGAGGCGGTTCACCGTCCGACGCACGAACTTGCCTCGCGGAGCGCTGACGACAGCGTTTGAAGTTTGAAGCTGGATGCGATTATTATGAAGGTGGTGTGACACAAAAAACGGGTAGAATCAGTTTATCTCAGTGTAAAGCTAATGATATATATATATATAATTATATATATATATGAAATTAAGTTTCAACCCTTGCATGAAGGAATATGTAAACAAACGCGTGGCCGGGATGTATTGACATATGCACAGGGAGAGATGGAGATATGTGCAATATATATATATATATATAGTAATATATATATATAAGTATATGATAGTATATGTATATATTGGAGATACATGAACACTAATTGATGATAGAAACAAAGGGAACTTCCACGAGAGAATTCAAGGCTTCCACACCAGCTATGATCCGCTACAGGAACGATCCGCTCAGCTGGTCATACCTGGCGATGGAAAATCCCCTACTAGGCCCTATGTTTGTACGTTTCTAACTAGTTCATATATATATATATATATAACTATCCCAAAACGTTGGTTGTTGCGTAATACTTACCATCTTTGATTTCCATGGGGCGTAGCCGGGAAAATTTGACAAAAACTCTCTTGGGCCAGGCCGCTGACGGAGATGAAAATCAAGGGACGAAACAATCGACAGAGGCGAAAGATGCCAGGAACAATACCTTGGTTTTCGTCGCTGGGATGACGATAAAGGGATTGAAACCGTTGATGTCTGGGCTAAAGTTAGGAGGTGTGATGGTTGAGGAAAAACCATCTAGAATCATACTCTTGTTGGTTGTTCATTATCATAGTCATGTCCTTTTGGGTAAGGTGGTGACTATAACGACATCAATGATTGGAAGAACAGGTCATTAGATGACAATTGGGCAGCAACTATATAACTGATGTATCGCCATCAGCTAAATAGGGAATGCATCACGTACATTCACATTAATCAGCAACCAACACTATAACGCCAGAAAACATGTTCTTTCTCTCTCTGCCTCTCTATGTATATTTTTGTTGGAACATTGTTTTTTTTTCCCAGTGAAGACGACATGAATTGAAGGTCATGGTGAGGTTGAACATACTGGCCGGGAAAACAAAAAGCCCAAATGAAGGGATCTGCCCTGGGGTGACAACATGACTTGACAATCAACACATCATCAGGTAATTTTATCAGTTGTATTTTATGTGTATATGCATATATATATATATTAATTTATGATCACATTCCAAAGCCTTACAGTGAAAAAATGTCAGGTTCACTGGGATTCCAGCCCTTCGAAATGGCTGGATGCACCCAAAAGACTGGGCGCTGATGGACCAAGACTTACGTGCTAAGTTGATGCAAAAATGAAGCCCTACCCAAAAATGCGTCCTTTTGGGAAAAACAGAAGGGCCGGCTTGCTGTATTATTTCGTATCATCTATTGGTTGTTGAATTAGGGGAAGCTTCTATTCATAAACCAAGCGCTGGGAAAAGGACATCTAAGCTTCTACCATCTTCTACCCACGTTTTGATGTTTTATCAGGTTGCTCATGGTCTGCCATCCCAAAGTAGCCTTGGCTCGCCCCTGCCATGCTGGAGTACCCATTTCTCGATCCCACCGCCGAGAAGCCATGGGTGTTGAAGCTGGCGACCAAGCAATCAGCCAAGGACAAAGCAACTAAGACCTGCGTTCTGTAAGAAACAAAGGTCTGAAATCATACGATTTCATGGGGTTTAATTGAAAACAAAACATGGGATAGATGGAATAGAAATGGGATAGAACTAATTACTGTAAGTCATGGGACAATATGAGGTGTAACTCTCAAAATTTCGGAAATCACCTACAAAATACCTGGTTGGTGGTTTTGACCGATGTGGGCGAATAAAAAACAACTCCCCAATTGGGAGTATCAACCAGAAAAGGTCTGGTTGTGTAGTGTGTTTTTTGGCGTTAGCTTTTCCAGTTGTGAATGGGATAGCCCTGCGAATTAAGGACGGATTCAAAGTTCGTGCCTGGAAATATGCTGGGAAAAGCCGGGTCTATCAAAATCCCGCATGATGGTAGATAATAAACTGTTGCAAATCTAATTCCCCATTATCCAATGGCCATTTTGGGTCACAACCTTTGAGGAGCCTCAACCAGGTCGGGGCGGAGCCTCCAAAATCAACAAATCCAATACTATACTGGGGCACATAAAGTGGTACCCTCTGGTTATTTAACATAGCCATGGTTTTTCGATGGCCCATAGAAATAAATGAGTTTCCCAGCTATAAACCTCCATTTATGGTTGGGATTTTCCATGGCTATGTTAAATAACCAGATCGTATTCCATGTATTAATCATTAATCGATATTGAGGGAAGGGATCAACCATGGCTGGAAGTTCCCATAGCCCAAAACAATGGATGATTCACAATTCCCTAGGAAACACACATACTCATCTTTAGACACACACACAAACACACCAGCCCAGCAGCTTCAATGCTCAACCCATCCCCAAAAATAAATCACCTCGAAGAAGGAACAAACATCGGAGTTTTGAGCTGCCAAGTCACTTCTACCATGGTGCTTTTCCAGTTCGTTAGCTAAGTTGTGGAATTTCTCACTATGTCAAGTAGTGACATTAGGATTCATGCTGATTATAGCTTTTAAATAATAGTTACCCTCTGGTAAACTAACATAGCTATGGATGACAATCACCATCTTTAAGTTCGGTAAATCAACTATAAACGGACCATGTTCAATAGCAAACTGTTAGTCATTACCAGAGGGTACCCACCAGTAAACTAACCGTTACTAACCCGATAGGTATCTAAAATTCAACATGTAGATCATATCCAAGGGAAACCCGGAAAACCATGGAAAAACTTCTGCACCGACCGTTGCACCTCGCGGATGGAATGCCAATAAAGCCGTCGGCTACCAACGCCTCCATGAGAATCAATGCAACGAAAGCATCTTCATCATCTTCCAACACACACATGTTCGGCCCAAAAAGAATTATATATAAACAATTATAAACAAACAAGAGCATAATTTCCTGTCACATGTTTTCATGTTGAATTTAACAGGACAATACGTGGAACCTCGAAACAGGATTTTGCAGCAGCTATCATCGGGCTCGGCCACCTAGGGACAGCTCCCGAAGCCAAAAACTGATCCCAAAGTACCTCAGTGCAGATATGTCAAGGTCATCTTGATGCTTAGGGGAGATGACATGAAAAATCATGAAAAATGACTTGGGTGGTGTATAGAGAGCTCCCTGTTCGTACAGGATTTCTGAAATTGACATGAAACAACAAAAATTGCTGGATGCCAGCAGCAAACAGTCCATCCACCTGCAGAGAGTTTTAGGACAGGGGCATCTCGGACTCCTTTACTGTAATGTGCGCAATCCAGAAATGTTGACCTACCATTTGGAGATAGTAAACATACGTAAACATACGACCCATAAACATGGTGATTTGGGGGATCTCTGGGGATGCAGAGCGCTCAAACGATTATTTCACAAACCCCGCTGTAGCGAACACAGAGAAGCTGCACTAAGCACAGGATTTCCGCACCATTGGATGCCTTGGATCTGCGGATGCGTTGGATCTGCTCACAGCTTCCCTTCCGAACCCAGTTCAAAATGAGGTACGGATGGGGAGGAAAAACACAGTTGAAGGGCAAATTCAACCGCTTGACTTGGAAACCCACCATATGTGTATTGAAGGTATATATATAAAACCCAGGATGTAAGTGAAGGCCTATGTCAGGCCTGTGTAATGGAACATCGCATTCACCCAGAAATGTGTCATCATATGGCCTTCTACTTGTTCTCTCAGCTATAGTATGCGATAGTTCCACATGGCTGAAACCAGGCACAATCGCAACTCGTCCTTTTGTTGGAATTATGTTCCTCGTTTTTGGCCAGAAATTAGTTTCTGTATATATATATATGTATACCAAGAAAACAGAGGAAACGCCATGAACAAACATACCCTTATAGTTCCATCATATATATATATATATACATATGATATATATATATATATATAAGCTTCTCTAATTTGGCTGGCAACACCACTTACTGCAACTTTTTAACGTGAAGATCAAACGCCAACTCAGGTTTTTTCGGGTTAACTTAACAATTCAGCCATCTGTAAAGTGATAGCTACTGTAATCCTTGATCCAAGGCCAAGGCCCTTGAAATATGTTTGATAAATTCACTGTAAATATGCAGTCAAGGCACCCAAAAAGGCAACTGCGGCACCTGCCAACTATATTTCACCTGCGGCAGGCGCGAGAAATCGCGAAGAACAAGAGCCATGAAAAAATGTCAATTCACCAAAGGATTTTAGGAATACAAACCCTTATGGTTCGTACCAAAGCCATGGAATACCAACGTTTTCACATCAAAATCGCGATTCTTGGATGTTCACCCTCAGACTTGATGGCATCATAACATTCAAACATATTCAAACCATCCCAACTAACATAATAACTAACAACTTGAACAAGGTTGCAACTGCAAAGCCAGGGAAAATTGATGAATTTTCTTTAGAATAAACTTAGAATTCCATTTTGTGTTTTTCAAGAATGATCAATGAGGATCCTACACCAGGGTGAACAGTTTTCTTCATACATTCGAAAGCACCAACATTTTTTCTTCACACCTTACGATTTTATATTTATGATGGTTGAATCTCGGAAAATGGGGCGGGTATCATCCTACAAGTCCGCTGCTTTCAGGACATGTTGTAACACATTGCTGCGAAAGATGTGGGCACATGCGGCACAGTCTGAAATGGGGAATTCCAAAAAAATCATGCAAAATTGCGAATCTCGCCAAAAACAAAATATACTGTAATACTACACAAACATTTACATGCACAATATATCTATTATAATAATCTTACATGTATACATATATCTATTATAATATGTTTATATGGTTGTTGATCAAAATTCCTTGAACCCGGAACGGCCATTCTTCGCGAATAAAAATTTTTACTTTCGCGAAACTCTCGCGAACTCCATGTTTATCTTTCGCGGGGCCCATGTTGGCCAACAACACCTCTTATGAAGATTCGTTCACCACCTGCCAAATTACGCCAGAGAATCACGGATCACTTCTTGGTAGCCTTTTAAACATGCAGCTAGCATCACGGAATCCCTTCTCAGGACAGATTTTTTTTGCAAAGTTTACTGGCCCACCCCCTTCAACATGCACTTTGACTTTCGCCCGCTCTTTCGCATAACTTTCGCGGAACTTTCGCGAAAATATCCCTATTCACAGACCCCGGCCATCAGCAGGGGGTGCACTGAAGGAAAAGCGAAGACCAGGGGCCTTGGTGTTTGGCTCTCGCAAAGCCTCACTTTTGGAAACTTGGCTACTGCTACTCGCATTCTCTGGTGCCCTTCTCCTGCCGGACCCCGGGCGGCAGTGGGTGGCAGCCCTTTCCATACTCCGAACCGTTAAAGTCGACCAATTTAACAGAATTGTGTCAAATCTCATTGGGACTTTCGCGAAACTTTCGCGAAATAAAATTTTACTTTCGCGAACTCGAAAAAAAACTTTCGCGAGGGTTTCCAACATAACATGCACGGCTTTCGCAATTAAAACTCCTTACAAGGACCTTTAGATCGATCATCATATATGTTTATATTATAATATGTGTGTACATACAGTTTCCTAATCTTTACCAAGAAAGCCGTGATGAAGCCATACCCCATCTTGAAGGAACGGATGAAGGGTTGGTCAGGCCTAGATTTCGTATGGCCATCTTGGGTATCCCAAGTGATTTAACATCAGTTTTGTTATTAAAATGACCTGGCAGAGGATAGTTAAGGAATTTTAAGGATATTTAGTGATTTAGGAAAACTATACCTAAATATTTGCATGCCTAACGTCAGTGTTTCTAGTTCGGATTATTTAGGTATATTTAGGTATACTCGCGTTTTCAGACAGACCTGCTGATTGGCAATATCCAATGAAATCCCAATTGCATTCCCATTGTCTTCCCAAATCTGTATATTGATGAGATTGAATATATTACCATTAAAATACCATGATATTCACCAAGAGATTGGGACATTATCAACTATCCAATTAACAATTGAATGCTAATCTTGCATTCACATTATCAATGGTAATTTCAGGATCCTAAAATGGAGGTACTGTATCATATAAGGCCATATTTTGTGGGGATATTCCCTTACATAGGCCTTACATAAGCCTTATATACGGTAGGTACCTCCAATTTATTTTCCTGAAATGACCATTGACATGATTTCCCCAGGATCTTCACCGCTTGCCGCCTCACATTCGGGACACCGCAAGTGCCAACAGGGCTCCTGCATGGCACATTGGGAGTGCAGGTCCCCAAAAAAGCAACTTGTAGGTGTGGTATGCTTGACGTGGGCATCGAACATTATACCCTCAGTGAACTAGCAGTTTGCTATGGAAAATTGCCCGTTTATAGATGATTTATCCATTAAAATGATTATTTTCTATAGCTATGTTAGTTTACCAAAGGGTAGTCATTATGTGAACATGGATATGAATGGATATAATGGATTGCAATGCGATATATCACCAACATTCCTTTCACAAGATACTTGGGCTTGTCCGTGAATGAGGTATATTATATCCACCAAATATCATGTTGAAAAGGACAGTTTAAGATAAACCATCAAATTTGTGGGCACACTATTTTCAAACAGCACACCTTTGGTACTGCTACCTGCGCGAAATTCAGTATAAGATCTGGAAACAGCGGCACAAACAAAAACAATTTTTGGAGAGTATATATATTATTTTGTCATGGTAATACTGCAAAAAAACATTGATTGAATACACCAAATGAAAGATACCAACGGCGAACTTCCATGAACAAAAAGCAGATGCTTGGGACACTGTAGTAGCTCCTTGGGCCCCCCTGGGCTCCCCATGGCAGTGGATACAACCGATACAACATCCGATACAACCATAGGTTCATTCACCGCTCCCTGAATTCACCAATATCTCCTCATTCTTGTTGAGGTATGTCAATGGATAAAGGACAAAATACAGGAAACATCCATATTTCATACGAAAATCTATGGTTTCCTGTAGATGTTCGTTCCCTTAAGCCAATCCATTGAGGTATGTTGAGGCTAACTCATGTTATCGCCCAATTTTTGCCAAGGTTAAACTGCCATTGTTTTTGCGGTCTAAATCTGTCTAAAAAGACCGGACGCCCTGTATCCTCAAAGAGGGATAGAGACAAGAACGCAAACTTCACCAGCACCGTCAAGCTTTGCAGTCGCCTAGGTCATTCAACCTTTGCATTTTGGTATTTCCACCGCATTTTGAATCCCTTCACCCCAATATTGAGTATATAGTATACATGTACGTTTTTTTATTGTAAATACCACTGAATTCAACGCAATCACGTTTTAGTCTTGGATCTCATCATTTTGGGGACCATTTTCGGGTGGTCAGGGTGAAGGGCTGACTCACTAACGCAAGTGGGCACTGAGAAATCCGAAACCCAATGTGGGCAACCCAATGCCATAAACCAACTTAGAAAAACCATGGGGAAAACATACCACGCATAAAGGATTGTGATTTTATGGATGGTTTATGGCATTGGGTTTACCTTTGAGACCCTGCAGTACTCTTCAAGTGCCTTGACAAAACAACAGTGAGACACTGAGACACACGTATTAGGTTAATGAAAAAGCAACACCAATTTCAAATGTACACCCTCCGGTGTCATCAAACGTGGCTGGCTGGGGATTCCCAGAACTAGCCATGGAGATTTTAGTGGGAAAGTCATCTGTAAATGGTGATTTGTCCCTTGCCATGTTTGAATCAAGGCCACCAATCTTCCCTTTCCCCCACATTGAGGATAGTTACCCCAAACCTAATCATCACTTTTCCCATCACTTTTCCTGCTGATCTCAAAGTAGACGGCCGAAGCGGACTACATTGAGCCCCCAAAACTTCTACATGCCGAAGAAATCGAGATCCTTCCACTCCACGTATCGTGCACGGCAGCTCGCGAGTTGTTGGTCAATTGCGGCTGTTCGTTCTGGACTTACCATGACCGTCACACAAGGGCACCAGAACTGCAAGACGTCAGAGGTTGGCCTGCAAAGTCGCAGGGGGGGCTCTACCTTCAAGTGTTTCCATGTGCGTGTGACATAATTCATGAACCATCGGCACCTTTTCCTGAAAGGCACTGTCGGGCAATCTCGGCCATTTTGCCATGCTTTAACAGTTTTCTTATACCATGGGGATGTGTTTGGGTAACATACCTGAAGATCAAGATAAAGCTGATACCAAGACCACAGCTGGATCGGTTGTCCATCCTCATGAATAGTATCTATCCATTGCGCTATCTTACCCCAGTCCTCAGTGATGTAGGGTGCAAGCGGGGCACCCAAATGGCTAACTCGCCAGTGAGACATCACTATGGTTTCAGCTGAGTGGGTCGGCCCTTGTGCCACAGAGACTCCCCGTGACTGGTGAGATTTTAAACGCAAAGCAAGATTCCCAACTTGTACAAACATGGTGTGCAAAGAACAACGAAATGCTACTAACTCTCGAACCTGCTTGGATACCACTTTCCATAGTTTGTGTACATGAGGAAAACTAAGGCAGATTTTCCCTGCTGCCTCATCTGCCGCTGCGTTACCTGCGATTGCAAATTCAGTAGCTGGGTCTGCGTCTTCATAGTTCTCTTGGTGGCTGTAAACTTTGAGAATTCCCTTACACAAGAGTTTGGTTCGGTGGGCCCACAGGTGAAGGGTCAATAGCAAATCATGATTGGCAGTTTTGTGAGAAATCTTGGAAAAGAAAAAATCAGGTGTTTCAAAAGCCTGTCGCAACTCATTTACTACAAAGTCATTATCAATCCACAACCGAAATGGCTTACGGAGACGATCCGCAAGAATCAAAGCAGCTATGACAGCTGTCAGTTCAGCTCTAGTGATTGTCTGGATCAGGCCCGGCAATACACTTGCTCCCACTGGTGTGAAATCATGTTGGTTATCTGGCGTGTAAAGGACAATTGCCCAAGATGCTAGTCTGGTCATTTTGCAGGCTGGGTTAAGGCATGACCCATCTGTGAAAATGTCTAAAGTGGGTGGGACTATTTCGGGAATAATTAAATTATGGGTGTTGTCAGGAATATTGTGAAGTGCTTGTCGGAAATAAGGCAATGCTGCAGGTGCTGGAATCCATCCGTGGTTGAAAGTCGCAGGGTGCGACTGCATGGCCAGTTGGCGGTGGTGTTCAGGCATAGATTTTCTGGCATCTTCCAGGCTTGGGCATTCCCAATGTCTGTGAAATTGGCTGTCTGCGTTATGGCAAAAAGGGCAATCTGTACTTTCATCTGCATCCCGATATTTTTGATGGTCAGCAGTGAAAAAGGTGCCGTTGAGGCATTTCCTAAGTATGCTGGCATCACTGGAATTTTGCGGGAAATTTGCTGTAGTAAGGTATGGTGAAGTTTGGGAAATCCCTTGGAATGAGGCTCTGTGTGCAACATGATGCATCGCTTGGGTTTGCCACGCTTCTGTCAGGCGCAGTCTGATGTCTTGTATTGGTTGCTGCCATAAGTCAATTGCGAAACCATTGTGGTCCCAAAAGGTATCATCATCCCAGTGCCAGTTGATTGCATGCAGCCTCTGCAGCAAAACACTGCACGGCCCTACTGTTGGTTTTTTCCTGTCATTGGGCTCAGCGAGTTTGGTCAATACTGGAATGCAGGCATCTGCTTCTGTCATGGAACGGAAGTCCATGACTGTTTTGAGGACTCCATGAAAACCAGGGTCGGCCGAAGGATGTTCCACTAGACTAAGGTGTATGGCGGGTGATGCCCCCCACATATGTTCCCCAAGTCCCCGCAGTGCTCCAGTACGCAGGTGTTCATAGTGTTCATCACCTAAGTGGACCGAGGTTATTCCATGAAGGGCATTGGGCCATGCCACCATTTTAATGGCTTTCAGTTTCTGGGTGTACGGTGCTTGGGATCTGGCAATGTCGGGCCATCTGGACTTGAAATTCTTGATTCTGTTAGTGATGACACTATTTGTCATTTGTTTGGAAAACTGTACGTGTCCTCCTAATTCACGTGTCCACATTGCCACTTGGTGCTCACTGTCTCGGAGGTATTTCCTTTCCTTTTTATCATTTGACCAAACAACTGTCTTCTTTTCGTCGAGTTGAATGTCTAAAAGTTCAGTGATTCTCCTTAGTTGATACAAACCTTCTCGTGTCAGGTGTGCCCTGTTGGAGATAACTTCCATGTTATCAACAAAAGACAAGAGTTTGACTTCAGGGGCTCGGTGTTTCATGAAACAATCGATGAGGCAATTTATGGCAAACATCCCTACCACGCTTAATCCGCAACCTTCCGCACATCCTGTGCTGGATTTTATGGGTGGTCCAGCTGACCCCCTGATGCTGAATCGGCGGACCATCCCTTGTAGTGCCCGAAACCACGTTGATACCAGGTTGGGGTGAACTCCTAAATGTGTAATAACCTCCATCATCGGGATGCGTGGTAGATGATTGAAACATTTAACCACGTCAACTATAGCCCCTGAGATTGTTGTTGAATCATGATTGGCTGCTTCAATGGCAGTTTGAACTCCCATCCAGACTTGCGATGCCGATCTATTTGGAACATTTCCGAAACATCCTGTTGGGGCGTATCGAGAAACATGCCTAAGAATCTCACGAGACCTGATGGATGACCAACATCGATATATAACACTGAACAGGGTTATAGGCCGGTACTGGGAAATTTTTGAGGCGTTTGGGATTTTTTCTAGACTATGGACTAGTCCTACCAGTAGGGATGATGGCCACTCCTTACCACACTCAATGGCGTATAGGAGGTCGAGAAGTACTTGTGTTTGGTACTTCGGCATGTGTAGTAGGTCCTGCCGGGACCACCCATCTGGTCCGACGGCGGACCGGCTCTTTTTCTTTTTGAGTGTGTTGTACCAGGTGTCCAGGCTGATTTTGGTATGTGGCATGGGATCTCCTCGTGGTGTGTTCTTAGTGAAGTGTGCTACAACTGGATCCCAATAGTCAACTGGCATCTCCACATGTCGGTCCCAACGTTTCCGCCACTCATCACGAATCTCCGGAAGAGCTCCTCCAGGTCTCCTACAAACTTTTCTTGACGCAAGGTGGTTCCGATTTGAATATGGTCAACTTTTTCAGCCCAAATTTTGTCATCGGAGCAGATTATGGGGTCAATCAATCCATCTGGGGAGATGATTGGTAGACTATCATCAAACTGGGGATTATTGGACAGGGTTATGGAGTTATCTTCAAGGTCTATGTCCAAAACTTCACAGCTGCATGAGTCATCTAATATTTCGACTGGGGAAGCTGTGGGCAATTTAATGTCTGCAAAGATTCGATTTGGGTTGGCGACCCGATTGGCTCTTGCGGTATTCTGCAGGTCGCGGATGAGGATTTTTTCAAAGTCCCTAAAGCTGGCTTCAAATATAGAAACAATTTGGTCAATTTCGTGAAGGGTGGGTATCTGCCATCCCAGTTCCCGGGGAGCACCCGCAGTCATGGTTGGGCATTTTTCCACCAATTTTGGAAACCGAATGGGAAACCGGAGCTAGTGATTATACTTCTCCATTCACGTTGGGCATGTATCTGCTGATTTTGTGAAGCAAAATTATTGCTGTGAATAAGGCGCTTGATGGATTCTAGTCTTCTCATTTGTTTATACCACTGTTGGTGTCTGAGGCATTGACCATGATATTCAGGCTTCACATGGCCATGCCTGGTGGGTTGGAGTGGCCTGGTGTGGTCTTGAATGACCTTCGTCTGCGTTGTGAGGGATCTGCCCCGCTGGCAAGTTTGTAACCCTTTTTGGGATTTAGTGATCATTTTGTCATTTACGACATCTTCAAACCCTTTAGCAATGGCTTCAAGCTGCTTTTGCGTGCAATCATCTGGATTGGTATGGGTGGACGTTTCTGGCAAAATGCCAATTTAATGTCTGCAAAGATTCGATTTGGGTTGGCGACCCGATTGGCTCTTGCGGTATTCTGCAGGTCGCGGATGAGGATTTTTTCAAAGTCCCTAAAGCTGGCTTCAAATATAGAAACAATTTGGTCAATTTCGTGAAGGGTGGGTATCTGCCATCCCAGTTCCCGGGGAGCACCCGCAGTCATGGTTGGGCATTTTTTCCACCAATTTTGGAAACCGAATGGGAAACCGGAGCTAGTGATTATACTTCTCCATTCACGTTGGGAATGTATCTGCTGATTTTGTGAAGCAAAATTATTGCTGTGAATAAGGCGCTTGATGGATTCTAGTCTTCGCATTTGTTTATACCACTGTTGGTGTCTGAGGCATTGACCATGATATTCAGGCTTCACATGGCCATGCCTGGTGGGTTGGAGTGGCCTGGTGTGGTCTTGAATGACCTTCGTCTGCGTTGTGAGGGATCTGCCCCGCTGGCAAGTTTGTAACCCTTTTTGGGATTTAGTGATCATTTTGTCATTTACGACATCTTCAAACCCTTTAGCAATGGCTTCAAGCTGCTTTTGCGTGCAATCATCTGGATTGGTATGGGTGGACGTTTCTGGCAAAATGCCAATGTCTTTTGACCAGTCAATGGCACGTGGCTGCCTCCAAACAAAAGATTTAGGGGGTTTACCAAGGTTTGTGAACTCAGCAAAGAGCGTAAGGTGATCTGGGAATTGATCACAAGTTTCTACTTTATGGAAGAAAGGGATTAATTCCGGGCTAATCCAAATGAAGTCTTTCGTAGTAGTTTTGTGGCAAGTTTTTGAAATTGGTCGGGCGTATTTTTCTTTTCCGAGGACTTGGCACTCTCTCCATCCTTGGTCATATAGTCGCTTTGGCTGTTCGAGCATATCATATTCTTGGTTAAAGTCACCCACAAGGAATCGCTTTCCTTTGGCCATGAGTAACCTATCTACCACTTTTTCCATCAAGGCATTTGTGTGGTTCCTACCTTCCTGTGTGGCGGCTTGTTGTGCGTATCCATAGAAGACCCCTCCTGTCAACCACTGGTCGTTGACAAGAAATGAGTGCATGGCAAATCTGGCTTCATTCCAATCGTCATCTGACCAGGTCGGATGCAAGGGTCTTGTGGGTGGGTTGGAAAGCCACCCTGTACCTGTGTGTTTGCCACCAATGGCAGTGAAAGAGGTACTCCGCAATGGAGCTGGAGCTCCGGCATGGAAACGAAAATGGCTTTTTACCAGTTTTAGGCTTCGCTGAAACTTGGCAATACCTGGTTTTGATAAGTGGGATTCGCAAACTCCATAAATTGTACATGTGGAACTTGGGAGTTCCTGGAGTTGATCCAACTTGTGCATTATCCCATTCGGATTGATGGCTCCTAGGATAAGCTCTGGTTGAACAGGGCCGGGGTTCAAAGCTTCACCAATCCTAATGTAAATCCCGTCAATGGTCAAATGAACCATTAATTTGCTAGTGCGCGGATGGCACCTTGGCATGCAATCATGGATTGTGTGTCACTCGCCGTGACGCATACGCTTATTTAAAAGCGCTTCTATCCTGCTCATCTGATCATCCATCTTTGACTCCAGCATTTTTTGAAGGCTGGACTGCTGTGCATCCACTTGGTTCTTCACCGCAACAATCTGGGAGCTCATCTGTCCATTGTGCTGTTGTTGTTGGGATTGGAAGGCATTCAGGTTGGATGTCAGTTGGTTCACATTATGCTGCAGTGTTTGGACTTTCGTTTCCAACTCATCAACCCTCTGATCATTCACCCCTTCCATATCCACATCCGCGGTTTTGTGGGGCTTCATGTTTGCGGTGACATGTTTGGCAACGGATGCTTCGATGGCGGCAGATTGGGCAGGTGTCAAGGCATGAGGAAAACCACTTCCTTGACTCCACGGGTCGGCTTGCAGCCATGGATCTGTGGCAGGGTTGCTCTTGTCTGTTTCTGGTACCTGTGTCATTGATTGGATGGTCCGTCTGGACGCTACCAAACCTTGGCTGGGAACTTTGTTGGCCTGAGTTTTGTGCGGTTTGATCGGTGAGATCAAAATATCTCCTTGTTCCAGGGAGTATACCCAGTGGGAAGGGTTTTCACTGGATTGGGTTGACCAGAAGACACCTTCCTGCCCAATACTTTGTCCCAGAGGTTGGCCGGGGCGTGCTGTCCACCCCCACTCCTTGTAGAGCTTCTGTAGAGAGCTCTTGGTGGTACCAAAAGGCAGTGGTCCAACACGGTATGTGGTCATCTGTTCTCCTGCCATGTAATCCACGTCTGGGCGGTGTTGTTCATGGATATCCTTTGCAAATTCACAATGGGTTCTCAGTCCAAAACGATCCCCGCTGCGAACTAACCAAGTTGGGTGCAAACTGGTTTGTTTGGCAAGCATGACATCCTGGAAATTTTTGCGTGGCATCCAGATTACTTTGTAGGATGTGTCTGGGGACCTACCCGTATGATCACGCGGTTCAAAGTACTTCCCTGCTTGACCGCTGGCGTCTAGGATGACTTCATGGGCAGGACACTTGACACGGAAAGTGACAATGAAGATCTCTGCTTCCTCTGGTTTGCATCGTTTGTACTGTTTTGTCACATACTGGCGGTCCCAAACGTCAACGATGGAATCGGGATTTGCGGTGAACTCACTTTCAGCAAACAAAGTTCGCACCGGCTTGTCCGTGATATCGGTCCATTTGAGTTTGGTCTGATCCTGAAACACCAGTGCACGGATGACACGTGTTTCCACTTCCTCAATCTTGGTTGCGGATTGTGGTGTTGCTCTGTGAACTCGTTTCTGGCCTAGCTGGAAAAGAGCTCCCATGACCAACATTGGTTCACCCGTAGATTTGCAGGTGGCTGGGAAACGTACCAAATCATGCGATGGCAGGCGAGGATCATCATGGTCAAGCACAATCAAACCTAGGGCCTTCCTGTGTGAGTGGCGCTTTCAACTGCAGGAAGGGTGTAGCATCATCAAAGGATACACACGCGATCCCTTTGCATTGGGCTTTGAATTGGCTAGGGGAAATCTGTTGCAAAAGGACTCCATCGGCTTGCTGGAAGATCGTGTTGGGGATCTGGACCTGATCGGCAATGAGGCGCTGGGGTTCCTGCGGCTTGGATTGTTTTGCTTTGTGTTGCTTTCTGCCAACGGCTTGTCCCGATGCGATTTTGCTGTCGATACTGGCTTGAAGGTCTTCACTCAAGACAATTCGAAAAGGAGGCTTCAACTGTGATGCTCTTGCTTTCAAGTCCTGCCATGGCTTTGGTGATTGTAATGTGCGTTGGATCACATCGGCTCCCAGCTTTTGCGTCAAAGCTTGTGCAGCTTGTGATGACCTGTTGCTATTCACTCCGTGCTTTTCGAGGAGTTCTCGTAGTGCTGGCAAGTGCTGGTCAGATGTTCCTCCAAGCGGCAAAGCATATACTGGTGGATCATGTGCTCCTGACAAGACCAGATGGTGAGCAAAATTCTTTCTCCATGACTCAGCTTCATCGGGAGAGATTGCACGGTTGCTGTCCGGATCCAATGCTTGGTTGATGATCCATGCAATGGTCTGAAATCCACAATCATTGGCAAACGCATGGGGCATGTGTGTTCCACTTGCCTGCTGATATTCTTCCAGCATCTCAGCCTTGATCCATGCTGTTACTGCCGGCGTCATATCATATGTTGTTGTGATGGTGAAATTGTCATTGACTACTTCAACCATGATTGGAAACCAGTGATCTTTGAACAAACCCGCAGTCATGAGTTTCATTTGTTTGGACTCCTGCGCGCTCTCAACGGCCGTGAGGATCCAATCTGCCAAGATTCTTGGGTTTTCTGTTTCTTGCCTCAAGTCCAAAGGGCTGGTGGTGACTGCTGTCCCTGAAACATGTATTGTCTGAAGGTAAAAGATCATTTCATCCATCGCAACCCATCCTTTCTGATGCCAAAGGGCTTGGGAACGTTTCATTCCATCCAGGCATGGTTGGCCCTTTGGGTCTCCAATGTTATGTCCATGCTGAACAATTAGGAGTTGATGGTCTGGCATGATCTCGGACACTGACAATTGGAACCCCACCCCATTAACTGGTTTGAAAGGGTGATCGCCATGATTCCAGAGGTGCTGGAATTTTGCTTCTGTGCAAACTACTTGACCAATGGTGGACTCAGTTGAAACGGCAATGGGAAACATGGTTTCGTTCTCATGAGCAATCCAGCAAGTCTTGGTGTTGGCAATTTGTGACTCAGGAGGCTCGACCTGTTGCATGGATATTTGTTGATGCTCATTTTGGTGGTGTTCTCCGTCTTGGTGCACTCGGTCTGGTGCATTTGGATTGTCAAGCTTGGCTCTTTTTGTGCTGTTGCTTGCACTCTCTTCTACCGGTCGCTTGAGTGATGGCGGTGAATCAGGTGCTTTGCTGGTTTCAAAGCCTGTAACCCCTCCATTGGTGGAAAAGGCTGTAATTTGCATTGCTTGCGAGGCTTCTTTCACCGGGTTGATGCTTGTCGGCAAGGATTGGTCATGAGGGGCAATGCTCGCTAGTATGTATCCACCTTTGCCTTTGGCAATCCTGTCATTCATCTTGGCTTTTGTTGTGGAAACTGATGGACCAGAAAGAGGCTGCCTTTCATCCATGTCACTTCTGACATTGCCATGTTGGGCTTCACGTGAATCAACACCTAGGTCAGCAAAGGCATCTGATGCATGCTTGGTTTCTCGGCGAACGGATGCATTTTGCAGGCCGGATGCAACGGATGTCATCTGTTGATCTGTACACCGATCGGATGCAACCCTGGATGCTTCTGTACCTCGGATTTTGTCGGGATTCGGATGTCCTGTGCCTTCGGAGATGATGTGATCTGTACACCGATCGGATGCGACCCTGGATGCTTCTGTACATCGGATGCTGTCGGGATTCGGATGTCCGGCGTCTTTGGAGATGATGTGATCTGTACACCGATCGGATGCAACCCTGGATGCTTCTGTACATCGGATGCGGTCGGGATTCGGATGTCCGGTGTCTTTGGAGATGATGTGGTCTGTACACCGATCGGATGTAACCCTGGATGCTTCTTCATATCGGATGCGGTCGGGATTCGGATGTCCGGTGTCTTTGGAGATGATGTGATCTGTACACCGATCGGATGCAACCCTGGATGCTTCTGTACATCGGATTTTGTCGGGATTCGGATGTCTTGTGCCTTCGGAGATGATCTGATCTGTACACCGCTCGGATGCAACCCTGGATGATTCTGGACATCGGATGCAGTCGAGATTTGGATGTCCTGTGCCTTCGGAGATGATGTGATCTGTACACCGCTCGGATGCGACACTGAATGCTTCTGTACATCGGATGCTGTCAGGATTCAGATGTCCTGTGTCTTTGGAGATGATGTGGTCTGTACACCGATCGGATGTAACCCTGGATGCTTCTGTACATCGGATGCGGTCGGGATTCGGATGTCCGGCGTCTTTGGAGATGATGTGATCTGTACACCGATCGGATGCAACCCTGGATGCTTCTGTACATCGGATGCGGTCGGGATTCGGATGTCCTGTGCATTTGGAGATGATGGCATGGTCGGATGCATCGGGTATGGGCGCCACTACGGTCGGAGAGATTCGATCTGTGTTTGTCGTCCCTTCGGCTGCAAGTCTGTCTTCTGGGATTCCAGCATTCCTAGGGTATTCGGATGCATCCCTTGGGAACTTTGTACACGGCCCGCTGTCTGGTGCAGATGCTCCATGAATGGATGTCTCGTAGGTTCCAATCAGGTTGTGGGGTTTTGGATCCTGTTCGGTGTTTGCTGTACAACCGGCACGGGGAATCTTTGTACACGCTCGGGCGCCCAACTTTGCTTCACCTGCACCTTTCGGCCTGAATTCCATGTTATCCAACTCCTCAACACTTGGAAAGCAAAAAGGATGATCAATGCTGTTAATTTCATGTTGGAAAATCCGGTTGTATTTCGTGTCAGCATGTGGCCAAATTTCATCCCTTTCCTTCAGCAGAATTCGACAAAACTGTGCTAGGGAATGCCTGGGATGTTCCACCTGTTGAACCAGTCCTTTGTCCTGCAATTGGTACAAAACGTTGGCAAACACCCACAAAGATTGGAGTGGCGATGCGCATTGACCCACTCCTGCCAGGTCAAGTCGAATGTTGCTGGTGTCGGATGCTTGCAAGTATGACGGAGGGAGTCCGCACATCAGTGATACCTCAGTCGGGTGTAAATGGCGCGCACGGAGAGACATGTGAGGCTGCTTTGCATCCTCAAACGGCACAAGCACTCCGTAAATCCCCTTGCCTGTTGGCATCCCCTTACATGTGTTAATGCAATGTGATCGGATACCCCTTCCATCCGTTTGGAAAGCACTGAGTTCATCATCATCAAGTACAAGTTGTTTCATGTCGCATGTGTTACTGTCCATCATGTTGGGGATGAGATGAAGAATGAAAGGATCAAACCGCAGAGATGGCATGGGAGGAATGTCTTCAAGCGGGACATACTCTGCTGCAATGGTACACCACCATCTGTCCCTGCGTCCTGGCCACATGTGATGCATCTGCAGTACCTCTTGTTTGAAAGTACTTCCTGTGAGCTTACTGTGCAATTCTAAATGGCTTTGAATCCATTGGGATCGCTTGGCTTGAGGGGTACATTCCAAAATGGTCATGACTGATTGTAAAAGATAGCTCAACTGAAGGGTTCCAGTGAAAGACCTGCTATGATCATCCAGTGAAAACGGTTGACATGAGATACCTGCGCTCACCATCTTTCCAGACCCGGTCTGCTTTGCGACTTCGGCCGCCGTAGCTGACGCTGAGATGTCTCCTTGAATCACTTGGACTGAGTACCTGTCTTTCACCCATTTGCAAAAGGTCGGATTCTGCTCCACGAAAAGGCATGTGTCAACTCCCAAAAATCTGAAACCAACGTCAACTGCCCCGATTCCTGCACATCCCTCGATCAACTGCTGAAGCTTCTCAATGTTTGTCGACTGATGCTCTAGCAAAAAAGAATCACTTCTGAAATCCAACCAAGGCCTACGACCATTCAGGAAAGATACCTTGAATAATGTCATCTTCATCGTGTTTCTATTGATCGGAGCATTGGTGAGGAAAACTTGGTGGTTGACCATAGATCTGCAAACATGGGCCCCAGGGCAGAAAATCAAAACCTGTGCCACCACATCTGTCTGCTGGCCATCCGAAAGGTCAGAAAACGAAGGTTCCAGGAAATTGGATGAAACGCCCATGGCTTAATCTACCCGCCCGAAGTTTGGCCAGGACCGCTCTACCCCCCTGGTAGGATTCGGGCCCAGAGCCTAAAAACCTAATCATCATTCCATTGAGGTCGCGACGTGAGGTCGCAACAAGACTGTGTAAACATATATATATATCCCGATTGTATCCCAATTACATCCCAATCTATTCTATTCTATCCCTTTCTATCCACATTATCCCATCATTTTGGATGCTTCAATTTGTTGCTCCCACATTTGGTGAAATCCCGCCTTGCTTCCCATCGATTGCAGCCCAGCATCTTCCGCAAGCGATAGATCTCCAGCTGCTGCACCGTGCATGAGCGCACCCATTGCTCACTGCCCTTCCCCGCCTTACGAGAGAAAAACCAGAAGCCATGGCCCATCTTCCGTACTACCGCAGGGTATAAAGTACAAATCATATATATATATATATGGAAGTTTCTTAAAATGCTGGTTGACCAAAATTGATGGTTTGTAATGGAAAAAACATACTATATAACATGGTAACATGGATGATTTGGGGGCACCCAAAATTCTATCAAATCTCCATATTGCAGATTCTACGTGAAAATTCGGGAGATATGCATTGGGATGATCACTGGGATGAAGGGTGGTTAGGTCATTGGCTTTGTTTGAGGGAAATATTGAAGGAAACCCTACAAATATATAAATCTTGGTGCTTCCTCCAGATTTGCATTCAATTGCGGGATTGGTGGAGGGAGGTGGCAATAATCCACTCAAAAGTCACCCCATCTGCCAAATATTAAAGACCCCCTAAATGGATCCAAATGGTCCCAATATGTGATTTCATCCCTGACTAAACAAAGGTTTCGGTTTTTTTGTGGGCATGAACGAGGGATGAAATGAATAAATATCTCCTTTCAAACTGGATGCAGTTCTAACAATTTGAAAAGAAGTTTTGCCTCCAGGCTGTTTGGTATTCGAGCACCTTCCAAAAGCTTCCCGTGGATTGATTCTACTTCCCATTCCGGGTGGGAGTCCGAAAATGAACGGTATCTGCTATCAACTATCATGTGGTTGCGGGGTGGGCTCTTTATGGCTTGTGTCGGGATGGATACCAGCGCTCCGAACGGCTCCCTTCATTAGACTTTCCGAATCCTGCGCCTCTGCCGCACAAAGTTGGCTACCGTGATCACATCAAACGCATGAATATCCTACATAATGTACATTATATATATACTGTATATATTATATTAATATATATATATATGATTATATATGCGTATATCGAATATAATTGAATATTTGGTCAATCTTGAATCTTGACATTAAACAAAAAAACAAACCATTGGCCCAAATCATCACAGGGAAGCATCAGAGTCGCCTTGTGCACCCAAACTGCCGCCAAATCTGCCGGTGGGGCTGTTGCCTTCGGCTCTGTGGATAACGCAAGCAACAAAGGGCGCAATGTATAGTTTTAGCTGATTTAGACACGTGGATTCAAGATGATTCAAGTGTGAAAACTATAATAAACTATAGGGATTTGGCATTGACATGTGTTGGTTTCAAAAGCGGAACGTAGCATGCAACTAACTAACCCGCTTTGTGCTTTGCCAGAATCCAGCCTGTCACATTTGTCAAACTAGCTCTCATTGCAAATCGCAAGAATCAGGAACCCCCTAGCTGCTTGCCATTAAACGGTTTTTACCTGAAAACCATGTAAAACCCAATATATTGATCATTTTTTGTCCAATTTTGGGACATGTTGGGACCAAGAAACTCATATATACAATCCATTGAGTAGTTTGACTGTTGCCTGCTCGACCCTTTGAACGTTTCCTGGCGGAAACAAGCTTGGTAGTCAAGGTAATACAGGTAATGCCTTCCACAATCATGATGGGAAAACAAGTAATTGTTCCAACCATTGAATCACCACATGGAATCAACACATGGCTAGTGAAATCCTTGGGATGTGCCATGCTGTGCCCTAGTTCCTGGTTCCTATGTTCAGGGATTCTTCCCCTCACTATAACCATCATTTCCCATTGCCATTCGCTAGTGCCCTGCCCAAACAAAAACTAAAACATATTTGTTTAGCTGGTGAGTCTATTTGCCCAAAATAAGCTAGATAGATATAATATATATATATATTTATTGATTTATTTATTTATTTATACTAAGTATACCAATATAAAATACCCATAGCTACCCATCACCCGGCTGAAATCCACCCGTTCCATCGCCTCACTTTGCACCGGCTCCGGCGGCAAGGGCTCCATGCTTGGCGTTGCCGCCACGACGGGTCGCACCGCCGGCGCATGATGGGCGTGGTGCCCTAAGCGGAACATGGCGGAAACGGCTGCGGCAGCTTGGCGTCGCGACCCATGATCAGACCCAGGCCAAACCAGGACATAAGATGATCTTCAATCTATGAGACATGTAAATTTCCTGGTTAGTAATATGATGTAATATTCTATCTAATCCATCTATTACACAAGGGAATAGTCTTTTCTTATTGAGACTTGTATTTTGAGATTTCCATTAAATGAAGATATTTCAGCAAAAAAAAATGAGACATCAAAACATGATCATATCAACAGGACATGGAGGAAACACACAAAGAATCGATGGCATATGAATCAAGCAACGATATTCTGGTTGGTGGTGCGATAACCATCTTGAAAAATGATGGAGTTCGTCAATGGGAAAGGATGACATCCCATATATGAAATGGAACATAGCCAATTCCATGGTTTGAAACCACCAACCAGTGATTATTAACCATCATTAACCATCATTAACCATCATTACCCATCACTAACCATCATTAACCATCATTACTCCATACAAAACTAATGTTTGAAACCACCAACCAGTCCAGTATTCCATGATCTCCCACTGCTGGATTCAATCGACACCCCGTGGGAAACCCCATGGGCCCCTGGCCGTGAACATTCAACCACAGGATATGATGCCGGATCTTATGTACCTCCAACCGCAGCCTAAATTTTGCCTAGTCATTCTCGTCATTCTATGCGTTCTGCATTTCATGTGGGTTGCACAAATGCTCGTATGTACATGTGTATATATATATATACATGCATATATGTATGTAAATATATATATATATACACGTATATAAATAAATATATATATATATATATGTGTTATATTATAAATAGCATCGCAGAATCACGTGAAGATATCAACATGTAATTCACGCCCAGGTCGTCCCTTGGCGCTGGCACAAAGCAGCAGTGCTGTGTCGGCCAGCAACGCTTCCAGCTGAAGACTCTCCAAGGCCTGGAAAATCGCCGGTCGATTTTCAAGGACCATGAGCTACCCATCTGCTGGAGCTAAGCTATAGAAAACCCCAGGTTTCATACACCAAAATCATCTACAAATGGTGAATGTTCGATATTTATCCATATACAGTATCTATCTTGATTTCCTGGAAGGTAGCTCAGTTGCTTGGAAGAGGTTAAAATGATGAACATAAATCAGTTGCGTTGGCTTTCTTTTTTAATAGGGGGCAAAACTTTGTAGCAAATTGTAACAATGGCAGCCAGCGGCAACTTCTTTTGCCGCCGCGCGTTGGTCCTGGAGCAGGTTTGCACTGACATAAGTTCATTTAATTGTGCAATATGAGGTATTTATCGTCGTTGATATACTGGCCCAAAGAGTGTACTGTGGGCAAAACAATATGGCAAAACCACCCACTTGGGAATAGTTTATACCATCTATAAAAAAAACTGGTGATTTTTGGGCGATGGTTTACTATTGCTTTACCCACATTACATGAAACCACTGGGCCCAGGGTGAATCTCCAGTAAGAGTTGTTTCTTCCAGATTGCTTTGCAAGAGGAATCCGTTGCATTTTTCAGTGTTTGACTCACGCAGAAAATGACAGGCCCCTGAATGACTCACAAATTTCAGACCCCAAGGACTGTACAACTTGTAAGTCTGCAACCTCGCCAAAGTCAGCATCATTCCAAAAACACAACATACAACTGCACTATATATATATGTGTGTATTTGTTTTTACCTTTATGCATCTATATTTATTTACCTTTGTGCTTTGTGCTTTAACTCGAACTAATTCCATGGCTCCGTGGCTCCTAGGCACCGCCCGACAGCACCGTCTTGGCGCGCACCAGGTTCTCCTTTTCGTCTGAACGGGCCTGGAAGCGAACATGTTGCTCTCAAACATGGGGATAATATCTGTGGATGTTAACCATCAATAGTGGGAATCTCACACATATCATCCAGCATATAATCATATAAGATCAACTTTAAGTATATTTATCTGTTACCTACTATCTTGATCAATGATGTTTTTTTTTTTTGTATTATTGTATGTTAAAACATGTGAGAACCAATGGGTCTCCGTATCGCTAGATATGGCTGGCCGGGAAATCCCTGGTCCCTGATGAACTGGAGGTTTGGCTCCGGGTAGTTCATGCACTGTCCTCACAGCCAAACATAGTAAACCGGTGTAAAAAGATTATGCATTGTAAATTTTGATGTTCCTTTGTATATATAATCTTTATTGCCAGAGCTGGTCATAGTATCAAGAGGTTTAAACCAAACTATGCACATAGCCCATCAGACTCTGCACCTGGTCAAGTTTTCTTGAACCCCTTTCTGTGTATCACCTGCCACCCTGGGGAATGAGTCATAAGGTCAAGCCCAGTCTTGCCCAGAGATATTGTCATCTATAACTATTCAAATATCGCACACAACGAAGCTTAATTTAGCAGCCAAGCTAGGTATCAAACAGTATCGTGGATATAGATTGACATAGGATGTACTGACTGATTGGCAGCCCTTCTCCAAGACATCCTGGACCAATTGGTGCCTAGATCATGCTAGCTAAGATGAAAAGTAGGAGCAACTGTCTTCAACCAAGGAGACCACATTCAACGTAATACCCACATTATGTTGCTCCGTCTTCCGGGAATCCACATTGCTTCATTAAATACCTCTACCATGACCAATATTATATAGACATCATGGAGTGTGTGTATATATATAATTATTATTTATGTATATTTATAACTAACATATATATATATATTCTATTGAGCATTTAATAGTTCACCGCCATTATCCATAGTTAAAAGTTAAAAGTTAAAAGTTAAAACCCCATTCATAATTATTCATAGCTAACCATCAATATTCATGGTTAAAACATGATAAAACATGTCTAAAATCCCATGTTTCTCGTGTTTCTTTTTCGCATTTCTCCGGACCTCAGCTCGGAGGTCGAAGTTCTGAAGCAGCGAATCACACTCCTTTGGGGCGAGATGCGGTGGGCAATGGCGAGATCCCCGGTCTTTTTTGAAGTTGAAGCGACTTAGAGGTCGTAAATCCATAAAACTCCTCAAAAAGATGGAAGTTGGTAAGATTGGATCCTAAAATTGTGATAATTTACTTATATTTACTTGGTAAAGGGTGATGTAAGCATATCTTACCCCCGAAACATGAAGAGTCTAAATCTGTGGCTTAATCCATCTACAACAGAAACGAGATCCAACCACCCCAAAAACAGGATATGGTTGTCCCTCTCCGGTGCTTCACTCATGTGTTTCTCTCGCTGAAAGGCGGAATCTCCTATTGCAAGGTTTGTTTGAGAGGGAGCATGTGTATGCATGCATGTTAGCATCATTCTATAATTATAAAGAACAAGAAAAGGCTAAGCGGCTAAGCCAAAGAGCAACGAAAGGAAACAAACCCTGCAACCATCTAACGTAATTAGCTAGCGAAAATTGCCCATGTGCAAATGAACTGGGGATTTTCCATTGCCATGATTCCTGGAGGGTAAGTTTAAAAAACCACTCATGCAATCTACTAAACTTCCAGCACGGGCAAGTTGTTTCATGCCGAATTTGTGGCAGTTTTGAAGGCCCGACTTTCTGATGGTCACTAGCTGTCTGTCATCGACCCTGGCCACAACGTCTCTAACAAGGTCCCTGGCCATGTCCATCTTATGGAAACTCTGTCAAGGCCAAGCGGTCTTTCCCACCCTATAACAATCCCTCTGGCTATTTAACATAGCCATGGAAAATGGCCCATTTATAGATGGTTTACCTATAACAAATGGTGATTGTCCATGGCTATGTTAAATAACCAGATAGTAATGGGTATAGTGATAGTGGGATATACCCTCTGGTAAATGTTTTCAAACAACTATGGAAAGATCCACCATGCTATTAATTGGACAACTCACCATTTCAATGGCCATTTTCAATAGCTATGCAACAAATTACCAGAGGGTAGAATTTTCTAATGACAGAAACATCCCACTTCTGGATTCCACCTGCGCTGGGAGATAACCCAACAGTCCGTGTGCAAGTTCTTCACAAAGTCCGCTGTTGCTGCGGCCTCCGTCTTTTTGCCTCCGCAAACGTTGGATCAAACAAGTGGGCTCCGAAAGTTTCAGCGAACCCCCTGGAATCGGAATGGGAATGGAGAATCTCAACCTCCAACAGACAGTTTGATCATTTCTGACTCATAGAGTTTTGCAAGTGAAATCTTCATATACTCCCTCGTGAAAGAGGACGTGAAAAACCAACTGCATCCAAATTTGCTGTTCATTGATGTTCCTATTATATAGACACGTAGGACACATACCCTCAGGAAACCGCAATCGAAAATCTCCATTCATAGATAATTTTCCCATTAACACTTGCATGTCCGGAATTTCTCTGCCAGCCACGTTTGATGACACCGAAGGGTTTTCCTGCAATTGCTGCTGCACCTCTCGACGCAGCTTTGTCTTCATCCAAGTCCATTTCCAAGTCAGCCTTCAGCTGGTGGCCAGGCGGACTCGGAGTAGATGAGTAGATGCTATCATACCAGTTATGGCGGTGAGTGGAAACGAAAAGACTGAATAAACAACAGTTTCCAACGTGATTTTCACGGTTTGTTCCATCCTCACGTTGTATGCAGGGCATTTCTAGACCTTGAAAGCAACTGATCGCCTTGGAAGCGGAACATCTGGTTGGCCCCCGGCTTCGCGTTGTTTTCACCAGGCCTTGTTCTTGGACTTCTCTGCAATGAGCGTCAAGTCAGCCTGGCAACGAAGAAAATCTCAGTTAAAAACCCGTAATTCTGAGGTTTTCGTGTCTTCCATGTCTTAATTCATGTTCAACCCCAAACCTAGGATTTAGATTTATATAGTGTTTACTCATTTTAGGTGTTCACGAAAGCTATTATTGATTATCATAAGTAAATAAGTTATGTTTGCGAACACTCCAGGATCCAAATGGGATAATCAATGCACATTCCAATCATTCCAGGCCTCCCGCTTCTTGGCGGCGTCTGCCAAAGTCTCCTGTGAGTCAACTGCTCAAGAAACCTGCATAGAATGCCGCATTGCAAGTAGTGTGTTCTCTCTCTCTCTCTATATATACTTACTATATGAAAGGGCATAATGTGTGTTATGCGAGTTATGTGCGTGCGTTTGTTGCATAATGGAACTGGAACATGTGTATATAAATCATATTGTGTGTGTCGATGATTGTCGACGTAGCAATATTTCATACATTGCAGTCATGTACTGATCAATATATCTTGATGAAGCGCATTGAACTGCAATGACTTGTACTATATATATATGACATATTAAAACCATTCTTAAAATCATCAACATCTGTAAATGCAAATCCCAATATGAATCCAACGGCCCGAAGGGCTCTGTTGATGTTGCACTTAGTCGTCCTCGTATTTCTTCTGCGCGCTTCCCTCGTCCATCTTGGCCAGAGCTATCTCTTGCTCGATGTCGGACTGACGGCAACACCGCCCGATAGAAGGGAGAACACGGCCCAATGGATAGTGGTAATTAATCACCATCAACTCCTTGGTGTTGGGTCAAGCAATTATAATCACCATCATTATCATCATGCATACATTATCATATACATTACTAGTATCTAATAACCAAGACAAATTTGATTTTGGTTGAATGAGGCTGATGTTTTTTTTAATGATGGTTTACGATTCAAATACTATCAAATCCTTTTGTTGCGCCAAACATTACTACACGGCTTTTGTTGGGGGTACAATCCCCAGGAAGGGCGCAGTAAGGAGCCCAATATTACATTTTACGGTAGGACGAACAAAACCACGATAGGTACGGGTCAAAAGTGCCTACACTTCTGTCAAAGATGTTATATAAACAGTTTCCATCGACTTAGAAAATGAACACATTTTCGGGTTGGCCGGGTGAGTGATCTGCAAAAAACATGCACTCACAAAGTCCACAAAGGTTTCGTCAGTGGGAGTTGCGTCATCCACACTAGCTACAGGCTGCTCACAAATCAACACGCCCCTGCTTCGCTAAATTATGACATACACTGCCTTTCCTGTCTGCTAATGGAGCTGATTCTACAGGTGAAATCCCAAGTCAAAAACGGATTTCAATCCACCGTTGTGTTCCAATAGTGTCAGTAGTTCACATCCCTAAGATCCATCCAGTGGTTTTACCTAGGTAAATTCCTTGGGCTATTAGGGACTGTGAATATGCAAGGCATGACTCAACTCCCTCCTAAACGTTGACATTCCCTCTGGAAAACGTTGCACATGCTGAATTGCCATGCTGGAAAAAACCGGCCTGCTGTTTTCACCCGCTTGGATGGTAAAAGAGAGGTAATGCACTATTATTGAAATTTGAAATGGGTTAAATAATGGTTAGATACTATGAACGATGATATCAACCAAAATATGCCATGTTACCATATAATCATGTTACCGGATGTTACCGGAACCACCCGACTGGAACACGATCCCAGCTGATGATCCGCCCAGCCTTCAGGGAATCCATCATGGACAGAACTCCATAGCTCTGTTGAGTCTGGCGGATCCGGATGACTCGGATGTCGTGTCCCACAAATTCACCCATCAAGGAGTCGACCTGTTCAAAAGAAAATTGCTCATCAAACATGGAATGGACATATGACAAACATATTCAACAATATATTTTGCGAATCAAAAGTCGGAATTGGGTCAACAAATGTCAAAAAAAAACTATATCAACCTGCAAGAACAGGGTAGCACAGGACTATGTTGCACCAGGATTTTTGAGATATTGCATAATTAAAAACATCAAAACGGATTAAGCGAAGAAATTGGTATGATATATATATATATATACATATATATGGTCCCCTCCCACAACCTACTTTGCTACAAGGTAGCAGAAGGTAGTTTGTTTTTTTTTTTGGGGGGGGTGGTCTAGCATATATATATATATGTATATATATATATATATATGTATGCGTGTGTTTGTGTGTGTTTGTGTGTGTGCTGATCAAACCTGAAAATAATCACCCACCAAGATTACTGTACTTATTTTTTACATTTCCATGCCTACTATTAAATTTATCATTAACCACAAAACTGTATTACTGTCATTGTCACTATTTTCATGAATTATCATGAAGAGAATCGTAATGGTTTATATTAATTACCCATGATTCATCATGCATTCAATGGGTCTCAAGAGAATTTCGAACAATCCCCTATGACTTTTGACCTATGTCCCCATTTTACCAGCACTGTACATATATATATATGTATATATATATATACTGTAAGTACATTTTGGGCAAATTATAATAATTCACTGATCTGAAATAAGGCTATTAATAGGGATAGTTACCCCTACTAACCATCATTACAGTGAGAACAGTGAGGTCGTTATAATTTGCCCCATATCTTTCTATATCTGAATGTTACCATGTTCGTTCGTTTTTTCCGGTTGATTTCCCCACTCCAAATCACCAACTTTCAGAGGTTCTCCCCCCTCCACCTGGTACTCGCCCTCCACGGTGGCCGGTGGGGCGACGAAGCCGTGCTTCGACCTGGTGGCAGAATTCACCAAGCCAGGGTGAACTAGGAACACATCATCATTTATGGTCATGTCACCATAAACAATCCAAAATTACATATAATATAATATAATTACCAACAAAAATGGGGATATTGAACTATGAATTTATGAAATACAATGTTTTAAGAATGGTCCCCCCCCAAAAAAAAATAACCACATGAATTGAGCCATATTATATAAATCATATGGAATTCACCACCAAAATATATCAAAAAGCTAATTTATAAGGATCTAACCAACAGAAATGGGAATTCAACTAGCAAAAGAAACTGCACACATGCTGATTTCTCCGTCTCTGACCTACAAAATTGATATGGCCACATAATGGAAACGCCTAAAAGTCGCATCCATCCATGGCCAGCATCTTCCAGCCACGTCACAGCTGAGCGTTGAGGTGGACTGAGGCGACTGAAGCGTTGGTGGAGGTGGACAGAAGCGCCGCGGCTCCGGGGTGATAGACCTGCGAGTATGTTCTTTGGGGAAATAAAATGATAACATGTGATAACTACTAAATTTGAACTACTGATGAAATTACGTGAAACCAACTGATTTTGGATGAAATTAAGTGAAATCAACTATCAAATGATTAGATTATGAAATTATGTGAAACTCATTAATTTTGAACTACTAATTATACATATTAATACACATACTTCCGTTTCTTAATTTGAATGAATTCGATTTGCAGGCGGATTCTTCCAAGTGGGTGAAGCTTGACATGCAGCCTTGGGGAAGGTCTGCGGTGGATGGAAGACAAGCACCACATCCAGGATCCCCATGGAAATCGACATCACAACAGCCATCCTCAGGATTGGTTTTTCAAGGGTTCATCCATGGACTAGCTCAGGATTCATGGATTTTTCCGATGAATGGTGGAGACCAATCATGGTCACAGCTAAGCTCAGTATACTGGGCCACCTGACCATTTTGATTACTAAAACCAAACTGTCTTCTTAGTTTGTGCCTTTGTTTGTCGGATTCTCCTTCCGTGTTGCTCGTTGTCTTGTTCATCATCGCCATTTGTCTTGCATGAGATGCTTACTGTAATCTTGGAGCGCTTGGCGCTTGACTTTCAATGTCAACATGTCTTAGCTTACTTGATTGGCGAAAAACGTTCGTTTGCCATTCAAATCTACAAAGAATACTGCAATAGGTAGCAAATGGTTGGAGTAAAACCTCATAATCAATAGTTAATAAGTTAAATCAAATCTCCTTAACAAACCCATTAAATCCCATGATATCACCATGAAATGGTCGAAATCCCAAAAAATCCATATAAATCCTCGTTTTCCCTACCTTTTTTGGCATCAAAACCCTCCTTTTTACAGCAGCATTAACGCGCCTTGGCCAAGCGCGCCTTGGCCATCTCCAGAAGCTGCACGGCCGAGGTGTCCTTGGTGCGATCGTTGGTGGTTGACCCCTCTGAAAAATATGCGAAAGTCAGTTGGGATGATGACATTCCCAATATATGGAAAAATCATCCATAAAATTCATGTTCCAAACAACCAACCAGTGATTATTAACCATTATTAACCATCATTAACCATCACCAATATATGATTAGTCATAATGACAATAACACTGGCAATCAGCAAGAATAATGGCAATAGACAATGGTAATAAGAATGGTAGTTTCCATAGGTAACTTGACCCATCCGGACATCAGCAATATTGGGTTTCAAATGTCTCAACCAAGAAAAATGGTGTTTTCATCAATACGTATTTGGATCAGTGACATTCATGATAATTAATGATTATGCCAATGGTTAATTATGTTTAACGCTGATTAGTGATAGTTCACAATGATTAGTTATGTGATTATGGTCAATCATCATGGGCAAAAATGATGATAAATGATGGGGTTAACGGTCAAAAACAAAGGTTTATATAAATTATGTGTTTAATGACATAGTGGATGATATGAAGGATAGTGGTTAAATATACCCATTAGCTAATCATATAGGATGTAAAACGCATCCTAGGGCATGGACCCGGATATACATGGTACATACGACCAACAATATGCTAAGCGTACTGGTCTGGTTCAGCAGTGGCTCTGAAAAACTGTCTGCTCCAGCAGAGGTGAATCAACGGAGACACTTTGGAGCAAGACTCCTCCAGCTTAGTAGTTTCGCAACAACACAATATGGTACATAATGATACATAATGGTACATATGTACATATGACCAACAATATTGGTAGAGTACAACCATATTGTTGCCCATGACCATATTGTAGCTTGGTAGTTTCGCAGTTCGTAATTGATGGTGTCTGCGCCCAGATGAAGCGCCCAAATGCTCAGCTTGGGACCTCTTAGTGTCACGGTGAATCAACCCCCCTTTAAAATGGAGGTTTCCTAAAATGGGGGTACCCCAGTTCTCATCCATTGATGGATTTTCATGGATTTTCCATTTTTTTTTACCAACCAGCGATAAAGGGGTACCCGCATGACTATGGAAACCACCATCTAGCAAAAAATACATAAATATTAAGATCAACCATAATAAGCCCCAGTAAACCCCAATAAACCCAAATAAACTATAATAAACCATAATATACCCCGATTCATATGGTAGTTTCCATCACAAACGACCCATCGGCGTCCCACCAAGCATCCGAGGTCATGAGCTCCTGGAACTCCTGGTGCTCAGCCTGGACGTCGACCATCTATATCCCATATGCTCCATGTAAGGGCAAATGTTGGTAAATATTCCATACATGGAACATATGGGTATGGTTTCATTGCCATTGCGAGGTCGCTTTCGGCCTAGGTCCACCGCATTGCGCGGAACGCGAAAAGAACGCGCACCTTCCGAGTCTCCCCGGCGGTGGCAATACTCTGGTCCATGGCGGCAATCCCATCCTGCTGGCGGCCACCGTTTTTGGAGAAAAAAACGTGAGAAAATCTGGGAAAATTGGCGATTCATGGCTATTCCATGATCTGACCCCAATTGTTTGGATGGTTTAGAACTGTTTTTTCCCCCTAATTGAATTATATAATTGAAGTGGCCATAATTTTTTGAAGGTATACTGAGTATACTCCATGTTGAGACACATCACAATTTTGCATGTCATGTTTTTTCATTGCCTTGTAATTTGGCTCAGTTCAAGTGCATCCATTTTTTCTGTTGCTTAAGATCTTCAATGGTCTTCATTGGTAAATCTCTCGTACTAAGAGTTTTTGTGGTGGTTGTATCCTCGTGCGCTGCTTCAGTTTTTTCCAGGAATCCACATGCTGTATCTGCGTTGGTTTGTTGAAACAACATGCACATTGAATAATTTACCAATGGACACGGTTTACACCCGTTCAAAGTCAAGATTCAAATCATATACCCTCCAGTAATCAAACATGGCAATGGAACATGGCATCTAGAGCTGATTTTCACAACAAAAAACCTCCATGGTTACCCTCTGGTAAACAAACAGTTCGCTATTGAACATGGCCATATAAATAGTTGATTTACCCATTAATAGCATGGTGGATCTTTCCCATCCGTTTTTTGTTAGCCCGTTTACCAGGCCGGGTAGTTCGGGGATGTTCCATCTATAGAGTCATCCCCAGAACACCAGAACCTGCGCTACCCACGGCCACGGCAGCCCCACCTGCAACTGCTTCACTTCACTGGCCAATTGCTTGGTGGCCTCTGCCTGGCGCAAGGTGAATCTGGGCAAAGCCGCCATTGAAAATTGGTTGTAGACGTGTTAAGGGTGGGTCATATATAATGTGTGTATTGTGTATAATATTGTATAATATATACTGTGCATAGATAGATAGATAGAGGGATAGATAGATAGATAGATAGATAGATTGATAGATAGATTGAAAGATAGATTGAAAGATTGATTGATTGATTGATTGATTGATAGATTAGGTAGGTAGGTAGGTAGATAGATAGATAGATAGATAGATTGATTGATTGATAGATAGATAGATAGATGAAAAGAATATATATATATATATATGTACAAATATAACATGGATACACATATATATATATATATATACAGTACATGCATATGTATATTGCATATAATGTGTATGTGTGCGCGTGTTTTATTGATATGTAGGGAATCACTTTAACACTGTTTTCTTCGAGCTGGTGATTTGTTTCAGTCATATAACTGGTGCATTTCGCATGGCTTTTACCCATTTACTAACGATTAAGTTGGCGTGACTACATGGGTATGTCCCCATGGTGTTACTCATCTTACCACAACTTTGGATATGTCTCCACTGTCTCCGCAAGTATGGATGTTTGGTGCTGATTGACTGATTGACAACCAAGTGATGGTTTTTCATGATTTCAACATGTGTCAATTTTCAACCCCTCAAAAATAGTGTTTCATGGAGACCTTAACAATAGTCTCCAAGGGTTGGTTGAGCCACCTGAACAAATATGGGGCAAGTGGAGTCATCCTTTTTGTCGCGATGGAGGATGAAAACCCATCTAAAACTGAATTTATCTAGACCAATCCTGCCTATACGTATATATATATATATATGTGTGTGTTTAAGCATGTTTAAGCTGCCCGGTAAGCCTAAGCGATCTGGTTTCTACCTATCAAAGTATCTAACCTACCTAGGTCTGTCTATACATTTAGGCACATACCCTGTATATCTACATATATATGTAATTGTATATAAATGTATACCAGTCAAAGTATATATATATATACATATGTAATGAATGAAAGCGCATATGCACATATATATATATATATAATACGTGAAAGAGTGCGCATATGCACCTGTGTATATATATATATATATGTTCATGCATTGCTGTGCCGCAGTCTTACAGCTACTACGTGCAAGTGCAAGAGTCGAAAAAAAAAAAACAGTATTCACTCAATGTACCTCATAAAGTGCATATGCATACACGCACATATATATATATATATATATGTATGCATATGTGTATGTGTATATATATATATATATATGTATGTTGCATGTGCATCGTATACCGCAACCTCCCTGCCAAACTTTCACAGGCCTATATGCAGCCTGCAGTTCCGGCCTTCTGGCTAATGCTGGCCGCCAACGAGGCCAAGTCCTGAGGAAATATGGACGAAGAACATGGCGACCCACCATCAAGACGTAGAATCTATACCTGATTTAGCGAACAAACATTGGGATTTAGCTATGTATATATATATATTGTATTTAGCTCTATATGTATATATTCATGCATATTTACTTATATATGATTATATGAAGGTAACATGGTTAGAGCCATCCTGGAAAGAAAGGAACGTACATAATCATCAAGCAGGATAAAGCTATATCAAACTAGGTAAGCGGCGGATGGAACGCCGCCTGTTTTTCCAACCATATGCAAGTTCACTTTCCCTGTGTTTTCTCAGGGTTTTCTGCTTTTGTCCATTTTTTGGACCCTCTCAAATCCTGCGACAAGCTACTTCGTTTTATCAATGTTGTATCTGTAAGCGTGTATTTTTTTTTACAAGCTTTGCAGGACATGAGTTAAATTTTGATACACTCCAACCTCGCGAAGGGAAGCAAAGACTACCATTAAAATCCTCATGAATCCCATGACTTTAACTCACAAATTTGTGGCAAAAGCATGTAAATAAACCTGGGACATAGTCAGGCAACAGCATCACATCCAGAGCGTGTTTCAGAATACTTAGAAAAGTACAAACCATAACATCATGAGCGTGTTACAAGTTCCTTGAAGAAGTGCAGAGCGTAACATCAAGAGCGTGTGAGAAGTTGCTAGGAAAGAGTGCTGAGCGTAACATCAAGAGCGTGTGAGAAGTTCCTTGAAGAAGCGCAGAGCGTAACATCAAGAGCGTGTGAGAAGTTGCTATAGGAAAGAGTGCTGAGCGTAACATCAAGAGCGTGTGAGAAGTTCCTTGAAGAAGCGCAGAGCGTAACATCAAGAGCGTGTGAGAAGTTGCTATAGGAAAGAGTGCTGAGCGTAACATCAAGAGCGTGTGAGAAGTTCCTTGAAGAAGTGCTGAGCGTAACATCAAGAGCGTGTTAGGCAAGAGCGTGTTCCACGCACTCTGCACATGACGTTAATACCCCACCCCACCCCACCCCATCGACAGAGCAAGACCGCGTGAGAAAAAGTAAAGAGAAACAGAAAAACGCACGAAAGCTGGCGGCGTTCTATCCGCCGCCAGCCAACTACATACTAGGGATTGGCTGCTCGATCCTTTTTGGATATGACCTAAAATCCTGCAATGGACTTCATTGGTGGATCATGAGAGGGGTCAAACCAAAACTGAAGGACACATAAGGTTGATGGAAGCAAGAAGCGGAAGTCTAAACTGAATTCATATAGATCTCATATAAACTCATTAGTAGTTCGAATACACATCATAAGTAACCAAGTATCTTAGTTCGGGAACAATCATACAATAAGTAACGAACACATTATTAGTTCGGAAGTCTCGAAAAAGGCAGCCAACAAGTCAGTCACTCTTCCTGAAACTCCGGTTCCAAGTATATAAAGGCGCACGTCCTGTTGCTGGCTGTGGCTCTTCATCTCCGTTGCATGGAACTGCTTCTGGCAGTAGGCCTCAACGGTTCCCACCGGCCTTTTTTTAGGGTTGATGTCCAAATCGGCCATTGGATCCATCCCGTTTTCTTGAAATTCCTCCAGCAAAGCTAGTTCTATGACTATATGATATTGTAGTTCTCATGGGTAGTTTTGGGGGACTGCTTTCAGCCAAAATTTACGCCAAGCATTGCAATGAATACCATCTGGTAGTCTAACATAGCCATTGAACATGGCCATTGATTTTTTTTTGGTAAATCATATGAAATCAACTGCAAATGGATCATTTTCCATTCGTACCAGAGGGTATCCGATGCGCCTTTGGTTTTTTGCCCTCCTGGGACCAGCATTGTCGTAGGTACGATGGCTACTCCTAGATACTCGTTGGGGAATTCTAACGCAACATGAGATAGGTGCATGATTGCCATTTCATAGATAGACATAATGATACATATCACCCAATGATCTATCTATATATATATATATCCATATAAAACATTATATGGCAATCTAATAGAATTCATTTGATAACCCCATATGTCTGGGTAGTTTCTGCCGGATCTCACGCCTTTTTGCCCTCGTCGTCCTTCCTGGAAGCTGCTGCTGTTTCTATGGCCACATGGAATGAACAAATGCAGGGTGCTTGGCAAGAAAATCATGCTAAATGTACAATTGTTTAAACATGGTTGAACCAAACGAAATCAAGCTACCACTTAGGTGATTTCTACGGTTTTATGATAAGTGATTGGGGATTGCTATTAAGGTGTGCCACACTAATTTTCACATATAATTAAAAATGTGGTATTCAAGCAAAAGAACTGGAGACATAACCAAGAAATGCGTTGGTCCAACAAACGGAAATATGATTAAATCAGTGGAAATAGGCACATAGTTCAGTGCTTATGGTGATTTTCCCTGAGCTCATGACAAATAGCTTGAGCTGGATTGGTTTGATATTCCTTTCTGCCTCCTGGCTAACTCTATATAAATGGAACTAGCTGTCAGCCGTTGGAGGGGTGGTTTAATGTGGTTTACACTTCAGCCCCTTTCCCTGGAACATCTGCAAAGCGTCTGCTCGGTCTTCAGCAAAGCAATCATGCCTTGGAGCTTGCAAAGATTCAACATACCAACTGGTGGTTTGGAAGAGAAATGCTCCCAGAACGACAGGGGTTACAGTACCCGTATACCAGACAGTGGGTTTACATAAACAACATGATGGTTGCTTCACCAAATGACCATGGCCGCATGAATGTCTTGGGCCAAGAAATGCGTAGCAAACTGTTTTGTCTGTCTACAATTCAGCCTTGAATAGCAACATTATTCAATATTTCTTGGAAAAAAGGCCTGACCACAACATGCCGATGAAGTATGATGATATGATAAGGGATGAAAGCATCCCTCTATGATCTGGCTGAAGAGAAGGGCATCCACGTACCCACCTATGTAGGTTCAAATAGATAGTGATAGATGCAGTAGATGGCCAAACCCCACGTAGCTGACTTAGAGGCGTGATCGGTAGTGGTAGTATTAGTAGTGGCCCCAGACTTTTCAGACTTCTTGTCAGTGGCACATCGACAGAGGCACCATCAATCTTCTCCACAATCTTGGTGAAATCCACCTGTGCTTCAGGGCTGCCGTTAGCTTAAATCCAAGGAATTTTGAAACACAGAAGTGCCCAAACTTCTAAACAACACACATGCAAAACTCTGAAACATTGACATAATTTGACTCCAAGAATCTGCGAAACACACAGTGGGTCTACAAGGTGCAACACCTGATTGTGAGGTTTATTTACCCCAAAACTCATCTGTGCAAAGAACAACTTGGATGCTGCTTTCCAAGTAATCTTCAAACTAGACGATGTCCCACTAACTGCTGGCTACTTTCTCCAACTTTGTCAAAGGGAACGCTGGGAACCAAACACTGCAAATAGGAAAAACGCACATTCAAAACAAATCAATTTCCTCCCAGCATTTCCTCTGCAAACAAAATCATTCAAAACCTATTCTAAAAAACATCAGTTAATTTGTTATCCCTGTTCAAGTTTTGGTCAACTTCCCACCGGCTTTTACCTGTGATTTTCAATCAACCTGAAGGGATCTGGAACAGCTCGTTCCAACGGATTCTCCTCGCCTGTTTGCCCGAGAGCGCCAGGGCCAAAAAGTTGAGCTCAGGAGAGGATGTCGACACCTGGCCCATTTTGGCGCCAGAAATCTGGGGTAAATCCCCCAAAAAATCATCTTTGGTCAGATGAAACATGTTCACTGGTCTTCTATATCTATATAGGGATATGTATATCGCAAGGTATTGGAAAAATTGAGCATGCCGTGGAAAAGAATGATTGCACAAGCCAAACACAAGGTGACTTTCACCAGAACATATCACACTTACATCAGTCACAGGGTGCTTGATACAGCCAACAAAAATACACTCCTCAACTGGCGCGCCAATGTATGTGTATATATAATACACAGTATATAAAACTCATGTGTATACATACCTATGTATATACATACATATGTATAGACGCACATATGTATATACATATAGATGCATGCTGCATATAATATCATATAATCATACATATATATAATATTAATATATATATAACTATATATATATAATTATATATATATATAGAGAGAGAGAGAGAGCCATATATAGCCGTTATCTATCATCCCGTCACATTTTGAAGGCACCCTTTCCGGACGCCACGAGTTTCTTCACCTTGGAGAGGAGTTTCTTCACCTCGTCCGTGCGATCCTGGCAACATCAAACCACTGAGTGGGAACCACTAGGTGAAAACAAACATTACTGGTTGGTGGTTTTAACAATCTTGAAAAATACGAGTGCGTCAATGGGAAGGATTATCCCATATATTATGGAACATAAAATTCATGAAACCACCAACCAGATTAATGCTCATAGGGGTTGAACACAAACATGTTGGAAACAACATGAAACAACATGAAACATGGGTTTCAATCAGTTTCAGCTTCGTTTTCCAGGTACATTCCCCCCGGTCCTTCGAGGTTTGCAACAAGGACGAAGTCGACGAAGCACGGCCACGAAAAAGCTCCAGAGACTTGTCGGAATCCAGGAGGTTGATGGCATCCTGCGACCAAAAAACATGGCAAAATTCATGAGAAGATTGTGAGAAATGGACATATTTTGGCAAAATTTTGGCAAAATTTTATGGGAATATCATGGGAATATCCCAAAATTCATGTCCTGGGCATTTTCCGACAAAACAATATTAAAAAAAACTGCTATTGGGATGAGCAAACGTTGAAACAATGGTGAAAACATGTGAAAACAAACACAAGTGATGACAGGTGTTTGTTGTGTCCCAGGCCTTAGACAAGAGGATATTAGATTTAAGATCAACTCATGATGAGGATCCCTCAATTCAAATGATTCCCTGCAGGATTTTTTGGGGCCCAAGTCTGCCAAATCTATCTACATGTCCACCCCACCTACGATCCCATATGTGCCAGTGGCAATAAAGGGGCTCATGTCAATTTGTTGTTGTCATTCAACAGTCCATGCGTCCGGCATTGAAGTATTGGTTGTACTAGATCATTTTTTAAAGATCATTTGTATGACTAAGAACTGATTAGGGTATTTATCAGCCTCTCTTTATATTATATCCGATATCGTCCTCATTGCTGGCAAAACAACCCATGATTTGAGATTCTTATTTAGCTCATATACATACATATATGTCCTCCGTATGCTGAAGAAATAAATATGCACACACACACACACCCAAATAATCAAACATACACATGTTCACAATTGTTTTATAAACAGAAAATAAGATATAGTAAAACACTGTGAAGCAATCATCACTCCTATAATTGTCTGATATTCAATACGACCCTCTGGTAATTTCACATTTATTCTTGGAAATTGCCATTAAGTTCGTTGATTTACCTAATTTACCTATTAAAAATTGGTGGATTTTCCAGTTTGCAAACTCTTCATTTACTCAAAAATGGGTGGATTTACCTAAAATTACCTATAAACAAATGGTGGGTTTTCCATGGCGATGTTAATAGCATTCATAAATCTGCTGGTGATATACCTACGAATTGTCCCATGGCAAACGGTTCATTTACCTAAAAATTGGTGGATTTACCTAAATTTACCCTAAAAAATGGTAGATTTTCATGGATTTTCCATGGCAAACTCTTCATTTACCGCTAATTCATCCCCACCACCAGCACCACCAGCCCCGTGTCGCTACGTCGCTACGGCCGCGTCCTGCAGCGCTAGCAGCTCCTTCCGGCGCTGCTCCGTGCGCTGCGCGTGCAGGCCGCTCTTGGCGTCCCAGCTGCTCTTCAGCTCCGCCAGCATGGCACGGTCCTGGCGGAGCGCAACGGATGCTGCTGGGGTGGGGAAAATCTGGGGGAAAATGTGGGAGGAAAATGTCATTTGATACTTGCTTGAGATGTGTATGTATTTTGATGTATTTTGATAGGTTTGACTTGTTTTATGTTTTTCTTGTTCGAAGAAATTGAGCTGTGGATGATCTCTGATGTAGATCGGACGTTTTGGACATGGTTGATTTCTTGATCTGCGGTCTCTTGATATGTTTTGACAGATCTGAGTTCTGGATAGTTCTGGATATGGATGAATGATGTATTTTATGTTTGAGTTGAAACTGGTGAATAATTGGCGAACTATCACATACACCTGTTGTATGTGTCTATTTTGGTGAAACATGTCAGAATAACGTCTCTCAAAGTGGCGGTGAAATATCATTTTCAGATCGGTTGCGCCTGAAGGCATCCCCATTCTTGCTGATGAATGAATTGACATTTATCTCCCCAAATCAGGTGGATAAGGTTGGTATATTCCGATCATATATTCAAGGATGCTGCTTGCTCTAGATTGGAGAAGCGCAAACAAATGAATTTAATTGTCTCATCCACATGTCTTGACAAATCGATGCGTTTCGGTTTTGTGTCAGAAAGTGCCGATGCTTCTTCGAAACAGCATCAACATCAAACAAGCTCCTTCAAAGCCAATTTCTTTGCAAACAAATCTAACTTTTCATGAACAAAATATATCAACAAATATGTTTATACAGTACAGTAGGTAATTATAAATGATATTGCTATATGGCAACATGTTTCTCTATGAAGAAACATCTTGTTCTCTTAATCATAAACAGTAGAAACAACCTTCCCCCGCAGCAAATGTCGCTGCGAAGTCCTCGACCAAGGATTGATCCTGACCAGCCAAGGAGCGCTCCATGTCCATGATCTCCACCTTCAACTCGCCCATGCGCTTCATTTTCCTAACGCCAGGTGTTTCCTAATTTAGGGAATGGTAGGGATCAATCTGATATCTGGGATCAATATCTGAAGTAGACTGGTTGGTGGTATACCTACCCCTCTGAAAAATATGAGTTCGTCAGTTGGGATGATGAAATTCCCAACTGAATGGAACATAAAATTCATGTTCCAAACCACCAACCAGTAGATATCGATAGTACGAAACCGTGCCAAGTGAGCTCTTTATCCCCTGATTTGAGGATTGTTGAGCCTTGAAATGGTCTCTTACTGACCCCCAAAGTAGTCACTTTTAGCTGCCAGGTAGGCTCTATTTACTACCCGTTTAAGTGAAATAAATCCTATAACCTTACTGCTTCCTTCAAGGTACCTCCTGCCTAGATGGCTAAGTTGGTTTATAACTAGGTCAACTATGGTTCATGGTCATGGCATGTACACACACATAAATATATATCTAATGATCTTTAATTATTGAGATGCAAGTATCCTTTTTTTTATATATATATATATAAAGGATACTTGCATCTCAATAATTCAAGATCAATAGATAGTGGGGCGAATAAACCAACAAACATCACTGCGGGGCATTGCCGCAAATTGTCATCTAAAATCTGGATGGCCTCTCCAGTTGCTCCAGAAGAGTGGAAATCTCTGTCTTCTTGGACGCCTACAGCAGCTCTCGTCAGGCTTGGCAGGCACCATATCATGCACCAAATGGGGGAACGTTGGGTACGCTCCAGTAATTTAACATAACTCGCTTGAAAATAATCAACTGTAGATGATTGACCTGTAAAAAATGGTGATTTTCCATAGTTATGTTGGATTATGTTAGCTTACTGGAGAGTACCGAAAGAATTCTACAGTCAATACATAGTACATGCGCCAAATCGTCCCCGGGGCCTTCAATTTTGACCCATATGCTGCTGGCACCTGTGGCACTCACATTCTTCACATCTCAGATTTACCATCTGGTTATGACTAACATAGCCATGGTATAGATGGCCCATAGAAATAGATGGTTTACCTATGAAAAATGGTGATTTTCCATGGCTATCGCACAAATAACCAGATGACAAGTGAGAAAAACATGTTCATCTCAGATTTGTGGTTTGGAAACTCCAATTTGTAGCTCCAACTGGATTCACCACCCGATTACCAACCCTTCAATTGGTTATTTTCGGAATCTATCTTGATTTACTGGAGCGTAACAGTGCCCCGTCAAATCGGTGAAAACCCATCATTTTCCGACATACCATGGATGAAACCATGGTTTTTACCATTAAATCCATCAATCGCCATCGGTTTTCACCATGAAATCCATGACAATTCCATATTGTTTGACCGATTAAACCCAAGAAAAACATGGGAAAAACCAGGGTGTTTGCCATGATACCCATCAAATCCATTTGTTTTCACCATGGAATCCATGGTTTCTTCACGTTACCATGGATCTCCACTGCCTCCAAGTCCCCGAAGTTCTCCACAGCGTTTTCTTCGGTCTTGGAGTCACTGGTGATCTTCCTAAGCCATGGGATGAAGGGGAAATTTATTGGGAAAATGGTGGTTTAACATAAACTGATGGTTGGATATGGTTTAACATGGTTTGATGGGATTTTAATATTGACCAGTTACACGAACAATACATGATTTTCTTCTGCACTCGGACATTTTTCCGTGCCAAGCATCTCTGTGGTGTCGTCTTTCATGGCCTTGGTTGCATAGAGGTGGGGCCGGCAATCGTGAGAAATGCGGATTTGCATGGATTTTGTTTTTTTTCGGCAAAGGTTAAACCGTTAAACCAACAAAAATGAATCTGACTTCTGCCCCAATCACCCAAAAAAAACATGTGCCAGAAAGATTTGCTCATGGTAATTTGCAAATTCCTGGGTGGTTGATCATGTCTTGACATGTTTTGACACATCTTGTAGCTATTTACCCTCTGGTAATTTAACATAACTATGGAAAATCACAATTTTTAATGGGTAACTCAACTATAAATGACCATTTTCAATAGCTATGTTAGTTTACCAGAGGGTATTTAATAGACAAAACATGATGGTTCAATGTAGGTCAAGCTCTGGGGATTCCACTGAACTAATCCGAACTTCACAAACATGGCCTTTCCAACAAAACCTGAAGATTTGTGAAACACCAAGCCCCGCAGAAAATCACAAAACCACAGGTGTCCCCTGTGGTATCCTGTGCTTAATGGCGACATCAAGCAGCGACTAAACCCGGCCTTGAGATCGGAACGTGAGATCGGAACGTGATGTGAGGGCAACCATCCCTATCAACTGTTAATTAAATATGTTAAGGGTCATAACATGTCATAACCCGTTATCAAGCTGTGTAATGGCTACCATTCTCTAGCCTTGATACGCGCCCACAAAAATCCCAGCTGTGGATTGTCCGAGCCCGGCAGAATCAAAATGCCCTTTTTTCATCTGCGAGAAGCGTTCAGGATGCCCATGACGTAGTCGGGATCCTAGTGGAACTGAACAAAATCCCTGGACTCAAAATGCGAGTTTCAACCCAACGCAAACATATGTGCCACGATCAGAACATGGTGTATAGATGTATATACATATATATATATATATATGTATGTATAGTTTATGGTCATCCATTCCCATATTGAGAATAATCCTTATAATGGATATTAAATTCCCTATTAATGAATTGATGACCATCACCCAATATGGGAAAGCCATGTTTAATTTTGACCATGTCACATATCATAATACAGTAATACATGTTCAAAACCTCCAGCCAGAACGTAGACCCATGGTGACATATCCCTACAATCCACTCATATGGACATGGAAATTCATAAACAAGTCAAGACAAATCATCTTTGGAGTGCAAGTTTCCACATCCATGTCTCTTGTGCAAAGGAAGTTGTACGTGTTCCATAGTGTCGACCGTCAACCTTGGTTTTACCCTCTGGTAAACTTACAAACAACTGATGGGAAAATCACAATTTTTAATGGGTAAATCCACTATTATATAATGGCCATTTTCAATAGCTTTTTGTATGTTTACCATTGGTTTTAATAACCCCCTGCTCTGATCATTTGGCTGGTGGCCGGCCCAGTCCCAGTCTCCGTCTTGGCAGTCTCTCCAGAGAGCAGCGACCTACAGAGTCAACCACTCCGACGTGGCACTTCCCCTGCTGGAATCAAGAAGCTAGGGCATTAACATGTACTGTATTACCAACGATTTTAGGAAAATCGAATCCATCAAAAATCCATCTTACCAGTGTATTACCCGTTATATCTCCATAAAATGCCCAAAAAAACGGGTTTCAAGTGGCAAAAATTGGAGATATGGGAAGTGATGCATGCAATGCACCCAAAAACATCGGTTTACCCATTGATTTTTCCCTTTGCTATTGCAATCTCTTGGGGTACACCCAATTTCTAGACAAAACCACCCCATATATATATATAGAGACATAGATATAGATAGTCGGTTTGTGTTGGTTCTACATTCTACATCCCAGCTATACCGCGTCTGCGTTGCACTGCCTGCAGCACCAAGAAGGACCCAATACCAAGCACTGTCACGCCAGGAAGCTGGGGATGTAACTCTCCTGTTTTGAGCACCACTGGACTGGACTGACATTTCATTGTCGAAAGATTCTTTCGGCCTGAAACTCAACCAATAGCCAGTTCCAGAATTGAAATGGTTGTCTGCCAGCCACTGTGCTACAGGACGAAACCATGCTGTTCCGCCCCCCCATCGTCCAAGGCACACGTTCGAATGCAGCAAGTCTCACGATCTGCAAATGATCGGTGTGGTGGCGCTGCATTCGCTGGTTTGTCAAGCACGGTCTCGAGAGCTGTGAATGAAATATCAGTACGCGTGGTGCCCTCGCGCCTGCTATATAGCGCTGTAAATTGCATAATTGCTTTCTATACCATTTCTGGACAAACCATGGGAAAGCATTTGATCTTCCAATATTATAATAAACAAACATAAATTCATAAAATGATGTTCAAACCAATCTCGTTGGTTATTTGCTGGCTGGTGGTTTCAACCCCAAATCTGAAAGTCAGGATTCGGATCATTATCCCAAATAGATTAAATAGGGTTGGACAAGTGTGAACATATTAAAAACCCATCAGCCAGCATTAAATATATGCACACAGAGAGAGAGAGAGATATATATATATATATAGATATACAGTATATATATATATTACCCAAGTGGCTCACTATATCTCATTCAACAGCTGGTCCAGATCTACCCTCTCTCTGTCTCTCTCTCTCTCTCTCATCTCCAAGGCCTTTCCATATTATATAATTCGATCATTATCCCAAATGGCTATG